ACCTCGGCTTATCAGACAACCTCTCTCTGATTATATATAATGATTATATAAACCAGTAATTCGCCGAACGAGCCGTCAAAACAATTCAAATATGGAGCGAGGATGCTGCTTCATTTCAACAGGACTGCTTCAAAAGCTCTGACTGGGAAGTCAGGGAACTGTCGTGGCCTACCTACACTCTTGCACCGAGACGGTAATGACAAGTGTTTCCAAATCAAAGGCCTTGGCTGGACAGAAACATGCAGTTACTGCTTGGAGCCGCCTTCAGGTCTGTTGACATTCCCACAAAAGCGCCCGCAGGGACCTTAAAGAAGGGCATCAGAGAGGCCAAGCGCAGGTACAAACACTTTGAGAACAACAACCCCCGCAGCATGTGGAGAGGAAGTGAAACCTTGACTCACTACAAGAGCCGCACCACACAGATCAGTCAGGACAGTGACCTCCCCGACACCCTGAACTGCTTCTCTTCACGCTTTGAGAGGCAGCACAGGGGAGCAACTGCTGAGAAGACACAGCCAAAAGGAGGAGCAGACACTCTTTCTCCGGTACCACCAGGTGAGGTCTGCTCTGAGAAGGATCAACATCAACAACTGGACAAGACAAACAGTCGGGTCGCACACTGAAGACTTGTGCAGAGCAGCTAGCTGAGGTGTCCACTAATATCTTCAACCTCTCCCTGCAACAAGCTACAGTCCCCACCTGCCTTAATGCAACCACCATTGTCCCCGTCCGAAAAGGACTGCAGTCACCTGCCTCAATGACTACCGACCAGTGGCCCTGACCCCAGTCACCACAAGTGCTTTGAGAGGATGATACTATCACACATCAAGAACGTCCTCCCAGTTGTCAGTTCCCAGTTTGCGTACCGAGAAAACAGATCTACGGAGGACGGCGTCTCCATTACACTTCATACAGCCCTGTCTCACCTGGAGCACCCAAACGCACATTTCAGGATACTCTTCAATGACTTTAGCTTGGCCTTCAAAACCGGCATTTCCCATAAACTGGTGAATAAACCCAAACATCTTGGTCTTTCTACATCTCTGTCTCAAACAGACCACAGAATGTGAGGATAGAGAACCTAACATCAACAACCGCTATCCTGAACCACCAACCCAGCTCACACCGGCCAGTGCTGCGGGGGACAAAAGTAGACAATAACACGTCACTTTAACAAAGCACCCTTTTCACGCTACATCAGACTAACAGTAGTTTGGTGACCTGTTGGGTCGGGGCCAGGATCTCTCAGTTAGAGACCAACTTACAGTTGTTCAATCTCAGCTGCGGAGCGACTGTCTATCTGTCTCCAGTGAGTGGCACTTTCAGAAAGTATATTCATGCTTTGGCAGCAGGAGAGCGTTGAAATATTCTCTATTATATACAATGACGTTGTTATATACAAATCCAGCGTTCTGGTTGGTTGAGAGTGATTTACAGGGGGTGCATAATTGAGCGATAATGTACAGTTGCTATTTTGTACTGAAAGGCAGTTATTTACTTATTATTTAAAATGTTGCTGGTAACCGTATTATGAAAAAGCAATAAGGTACTTGAGGCAGTACTTTATCTTCAATAATGTAACAGTTCAAGGGTTGCCGGCCCTCCGCTTCGCGGCCCCTGTTGAAAATTCGCTTCATCCACAACCATTCGCTTCTATGCATTGACTGCTTGGAATCTACTCGGTGTTCTGATGAGTCGCCAACAGAATTTCTTTGTATGCTTTTACATTGACAATAAACATCCTTATCCTTATAAAGTAATCAGTCTGTCTCGTGTCTGGTTCCTCTCCTTCTCTCCAGTAGAGCATGAGTGCCAGTGAGCGATGACGTCACTGACCTTGTTATTGCTTTTATTCTGTCAAACAGAGATTTTTTATGCATAAATTGAAGGGCACCCCAGTCCTTTGGATTGGGATCAGGAATAGTAATGCATCCTATGTACATCAAAGAGCTCTTTAGTTACATATCAAAGGATCTTTTTAAAGCCGATAAGGGACATTTTGAAAACCGCCCTGGACATATCGCCATCTGCCTGGAGTCTCTGCCTGAGCCTTCCAGCAATCCCAGTACCAACAGGCTGCTCCCTTAAATAACACATTTTAAAAAGCGGAAACATTGTTTTGACAGTGGTGATCCGAGAGAGATCACGTCTCAATGACTCGTACATTTGTCAGATTGCATCTTGCTTGTGTTGCAGTGATGGCGGATGATGGACACATTCATTAAGGGCCTGTATAAAAAAGATTGTTCCTTTAAAGCAACTGTGTCACCGGACGAGCTCATCGGACAGATCTGGAAACTCCTTATCGTGTTTAACGAGCTGCGTCCAACAGACGGGAGGGATTCACAGAGAATGGACGGCCAGGAATCACTCTCAGCTTCTGTGTTGCCTGTCCCCCACCCCCCCACCCCCGGGACCCAGCAGGGGGGCGGGGGGGGCACGCCGAGTAAAAATGTTAACAAAATGTGGGTGGTGCAAAAGCTCCAGGTCCTCACAGACGAGGTGGAGAAGCAGTCGGCAAGATGTCATGAAAGCAAATGAAACTTGACGCAGGAAAACGCTTCTTTGGATTTAATATAGAGCGACCAGTTCCCCTCCCATCAATTCCCTCCTCCTCGCTGAAGGGGCTAGTCATGTCGTAGGGTGGCTATTATCACCGGCCTCTGTGAAGAGCACTGTTTTTTCAGCGAGGGTCGTTTCCCTGATGGGGCCCAATTTGGCACCAAATGTCTGAGCTTTAGCTCATTTGAATATGTGCAAATAGCGCAGGAGACGCCATCTGCTCGGCCGCGCAGTTAGCGTTGCATTCATGCACCTGCACAGTCCCTTTTTGTCTTTATTTGGCCGGGTATAGCGGCCGCAAGTGTCCACACAACCATACTGTGAATATACTGTAAAAAAGTTTGAGAAAGTGTGTCCAAACTTTTTTCACTGGTACTGTCAATCCCTGTAATATTCAAACAGTACAACTCAAAAGAAACATCCATGCATCGTTCACTGCTTCTTGTTAACAGTCTTAATGGTTAACACATGAGGAACGTATGATGATAGATGCAAAAAAGAACGCTATTCACCTTTCAGAAACACGCAAAAAAATGTAGATCCTCCATGCTACATGATCTTCAATTGGCAGTGCATTATGTCTAAAGCAGCACCATTAATATTTTTACGTTAACAATCAAATGAGAGATATTATCAGCAACTCTGATACGATTCGTGGTCTATTTTATGTCTACAGCCCATTTCGCGGCGACTAAGAGGCACAAATGAATGACTCCAGGTGAAAGGATGATCAGTTGCTACTGTGGCACATGTTTCTATGACCGCCTTGTTATTGGTCGTCTCTAACATGATGCCAATTCTGGTTTGGCTGTGCATCAGTTACTTTAACTCAAAGCGGATGAAAGATATTGAAAAGGTCTGTTTTGCGAGGCAACTGAACGTCATGAACAATAACTCCCTTAATTTGGTTCGTACGTCTGAGTTCAACCAGCGATGAAAACCCAGCTGGGGAGGATTGTGATATTCTCTGTCTGTGTTTCCACTTTTTAGTCAAACCTGAATCTAACTGGTGTTCTCCTATAATTATGAAACATTTTCTGCTCCCTTATGTGTTTTTTCCAAACGGTCTGCAGAGGGAAGACCATAACGTGACGCTTTGTTAGTGTTGTTTCAGCGCTGATGCTAATAGCGCAAAGTGAGCTGAACATGTAATTGAAATTCAAACAGAAAGGTAGCAAGAGACAAAGAGAAGAGATGAGTAATGATAGACGAAGAAAACAGGGCAGAGAGAGACTGCCTTCATACAGTATCCGTGTGTGTGTGTGTGTGTGCGGAGGAGCGAGTGCTGCCTCAGGAACAGTTGATGGATTTGCTGCTTGACTGCTCACACAGATTGGTGCCTGCTGTGATGGCAGCCTTGAACTGAAATTACATGCACACACTCTCACACACACACACACACACACACACACAGAAGAGAAGTACACGTAATTGCAATTTCTGCGTGTGCACGGGCCGTATTTTGTGTGTGTGTGTGCGTGGGTGTGTTGTTAAGTGGGGACGAGCGGGTGTGTTTCCTAGGAGGCCATTTCAAAGTGCAGTGGAAGGGTGGATGAACACGAAGCTGGAGGGAAACAATCCAACAGATCAAAAATAACGCTGTGTTTTTTTTGGCGATAATTATAATTATATTATTATATATAAATTTTTTTCATAGTTTAAACGGGACACATCACAACCGGACAGATACACAGATTAACAGAGAGGACTCTTTAGAGTTAAGATGATTAGTAGCTAATGGAGGCAGTTTTTCTCTTTAATGGTAGAGAGAACATATATATATATACAATTTCATTCCTACGAAAAAAGGCACAAAATGATATGCAACATTTTGAACCTGGCTAGTGAGTTGAATCATCCCTGAAGATGAAGGGGAACCTCGTGTTCTCCCGGATGGAGCAGCCAGGTGCCTCCTGTCAGACGTCAGGGGCCGCGGCCGCACTTTCTCCCCCTCTGGTGAAAGAACCACCTTCTTTGTTCTGTTACCGGAGTCCTCTCACGTTACACGTTACACACATGGATATCCCAGCTTGAACTGGGTACATTTCCTTTGATTTCACACCCAGCACATAACTAACTAATGATTTTCTGCCTTTTTCTTTCTTTGTATCTTTTATTGTTTCTCTCTTTCTACCTTTAATGGTTTTGCCTTTCTTTCTTTCTCTTTGGATTTTTTCCTTCTTCCTTTTATTGTTTTCTTTCTATCTTTGTATCTTTTCATCTTTCTTAATTTTATTGTTTCTGTCTTTCTTTTTTCCATCTTTATTTATGTTTTTTCTTTGTATTTTATTTTCTTCCCTTCTCTCATTCTGTCTTATTATTTTCTCTTTCTTTGTGTCTTTTGCTGTTGATTCTTTCATTTGTCCCTTCCTCTTTGTGTTTTCATCGTTCCTTTCTTTCCTCCGGTCTCTCTCTGTGTTTCTCTCTGCGCTCCTCAGTGGAGCATCGGGGAGCAGCAGTGAATCCGAGAGCAGCTCCGAGTCGGACACGGACGAATCAGAGAGCAGCTCCAGTGACAGCGAGTATAACCGGACCTCCCGCACGCACACCCCAGAGGTAGGAGGACGAGTGGATGACGTGAGTTTGTAAATGAAATAAACGCACTGGTGAGCTGAACGAGAGAGAGAGAGGCCGATCATGTAGATTAGAACCATTACGCTTTCCTGATTTATTGTTCTGAAGACAAAATCCTGTCTGCTACTCTCACCTGTGAAATCTTCCTGAATTTTCCCCTGCAGCCTGAGCCCCCCTCGGCCAACAAGTGGCAGCTGGACAGCTGGTTGAATAAAGTCCAAGCTCAGACCAAACCCTTGCTTCCCCCTCAGCCGGAACATGGCTCAGGTCTGTGTGGCAGGAACCTCTGCTGTGTCCGACAGCAGTTATGGTACATAGTAAGAAAAGAAAACAATAATGTGGATTGATGTCCCCAGGCACCACCACCCAGGGCCCGAGGACCTTCTCTCCGAGGAGTGAAGCAGACGGAGTGGGAGCGGCTGCCAAGACTAAGCCCTGCGTGTCCAGCAGCGCCCCTCCTCCAGCTGCCCAACCGCTGGAACACAAGGACGCAAGAGGAGCTCTCTGGTAGGGGCGGTTTGGGTAAACCTTCCAGTCGAAACCATCTTTTTTTTAAAAAACAGTAACGTCTGTTGAATTAATTAACAACACACTAACAGAGGGATGAGCAAATTGTGGGCAACACGTGGCAAAAATAAGTCTCTTTGACCATGAAAAAGGAACCTATCGTTGCTTCCCGCAGCCCGGGCAGAGAGAAGGCCAAGGCCAAGCTCAGCCAGAAGGCCTCCGGGGAGGGGCAGAGGTCAAAGACGAGGATGTCACCGGGGGTGTTGTCCGGGCCGGAGGTCACGACCCAGAGGAGGAGCACCACGGGGAAGAAGCAGCCCCGACGGACGGAGAGGTCAAACAGCGCGGAGGACTCTCAGAGCCAGACGTGGAGCAGAAGCACCCAGCAGAGGTGAGGAGGAGCGAGCGAGTCCCGTGTGGTAACAGGTAGTTCACAGATACAGATCTAAAGTAAGGCTTCATTATTATTCCTTTCCAATGGCAAATGATTAGTGGATCTCAACAATGTGATAAAAGCAAAGGACTTTACTAATTGACCAGACATTTAATTCCTTCAATTTTGAAGCAGAGTACCTGTAATTATTCTTAGTAAAATATAGTAATTATACACAATTAAGAGTTAAAATAAGTCGGTTGTGGATGTGTATGGGGGAATTCATTTAGATAAAACGCCACTAAGCTTATTTTAGCAGTCTGATGCTTATTTTTGAGTGTCACATAAAAACATTTCAGGATGTTTTCTCAATTTCTACCTATTCTCTCCTTTAGTCTTATCTCCATCGGTGTCGCAGTGCACTAGATTTTGAGAGTCTCTTCACTCTTTTATGCACCGACGACTCATATTTCTAAAGTGAGGCCTTGAACTTCTTTTGCACTCGTCGCTAGAAATGCACACGTTCTTTTGCAGTGCGTCACTGGCTGCACGGCGCTCACATTGCGTTCGTTGCAGATCGTCACACCGGCTCGACCCAAGCCGTCGCCATGGTGAGAGCCGTTGAGAATCAGTAGAAAAGCCCCCAGTCTGGAGTCGAGGTCCTTTAAGGCACCGCTGTCTCTCAGCACAGGGATCTCACAGCGGCTTCTCTGCAGCTAGAACGCCGCCATCCCCTCATCCGTAGCGATGAAGGCTCAGGCTGAGTAGGTGCCATGCTCAACTGGCTGCTCTGCTTGATGTGAGCATAATTGGAAGACAAACACAGACTTCCTAGCTTTGTTTCCTTTCTCCCTTTCCACACATGCTGCTTTCAAATATTTCTTGCTGCCTGATATATATATATATATATATGTGCCCCCCTGCAGCTGACCTCTCATCTTCTGTTTGCCAGCTTGCTGCGCGGCGGTAGCGGTGCCTTGCTCAAAGGGGGATCTAATGGGGATTGTGACGCTTTCTCCTGTTTATTTGTTTCCCCCCTGTAGTCCTGTGGCTAGGGAGAAGGACCTGTTGCCTCCCCCCTCCCTGGAGCTTCAGACCCCCCCGAGGCCAAGAAACAAACCCCCGGGTGGGAAAACTGCCCCCAGAAAGGAACCTCGCTGTGCCACCAACTCAAACAACAGCTCGGTTACACCACCAGCAGCGCTGCAACAAACCCCGGTGCCACTGCCAGCTGCCAGCGTAAACCAGGTCTGTTTCTGTGGGGGGGGGGGGTCATATTTTATGTTTTCCGCATAATAGTACCAGCCCTCGAAGTTGATCCAGTAATTATCGATGGCTGTCAACAAGCTTATCCAACAAATGCCCTTTTCAGTCAGAACACAAGCACATTGGGACGTTTGCCCTTCACTTCAATATCTGGAATACGCAGACAAAAGGTTTAAAAAGCGAGTGCTGCTCACACGTAACACTGTCCGTGTGCCTTGGGATGGACAATTCATCCTTATTGTCTCGGGGAGATTTGTCTGAGCTCTGTGGCTCAGCGCTGACTGGTTTCATCGAAATATCTTTGATACAGGGAGTCAAAGAAATGGAGCTTAATCATCGACCACCGTCTCCACTGATAATGAGTGAGCACGATGGGGTTTTATGAAGATTGGCCAGTTTCAAGGAGAACGAGTGAAAGAGAAAAAAACACTGACAGTAAACTGGCTTCATGTAACAAAGGCACAGCTAGATAAGGGAAAGAATGAAGATTATGCAACAATTATAGCAGTAGAATGGCAACAGAGAGTTTTCATGCCTCTGATGGAAACAGGTATTATGTTCGGGCCGTCCATTGTCATGAACAAGATCTCTCTGGAATGCTTGTCGGGAATATCTTACAATTTGACTTAAATGTTCACTTGGATTCATAAACTGAACCGGTTGCCAAAGGTCAGTGTGACTGGCTGGAGGCTGTGATTCTACTTCTGAGTCAAATTAATTTAATAATAACAAATCAAATCAAAACCAAAGCATAGTCCCGTTGTCGTTACTCAACGTGATATAGTTTTTGCTCGTAAATGACAGTGATGAATGTTCACAGTCATCTTTTGGGTATAACTTTAACGGCACATTATCCCCAAGTAGTTTTTTTGATCCTATTACACGTGAGTCTCTGTGGCCTAGTTTTTTATTGCATTATTTAAGTCCTGCACCTCCATGGAACCAACGGCATCGTGTTTATTACTCAAAGACGTCTTGAGTTCAGTGTAACACAGTCATAATAGCATAAATATTATATGAGGACCCAAATTGATTTTCTTTGATATATTATTTTTAGGGCTGTCGAAAGATTCAAAAACCAATCAATGGCACAGTTTGAAATTCATTAATTGTGATTAATTTATTTTTCCTCTAAAGACTAAATTGTACTAGCAGTGAGTAATCACTTTATAAAGCGTGTATTTCACACACATGTGATCATCTTGGAGGCAGAACTCTGCCGGGTGGAACATGTTGAACCGGCGACTCCGTCCTCGCGCACTTTGCTCTCAACTCTCCATCATTTGACGGCTGCCAAAGATTTCCCAACATTTATCCAGGACGTTTTCCAAACCTGTGTTTTAGAGACAGGGGTCGTCCTCTTCACAGTGAGAACATGCAGACTCCTCACAGAAAGGCCACAATTTTGAATGGGCAACAAACAATAAAAGCAATACAAAAGTCTCTTAACTTAAAGGTTGAAATTCGTTGTACAATCAGCAAATTCCTTCAAGACAGCAAAACCAACAATTGATTTAATAGTTATTTATTTGTATCAGACTAGCCAAAGCGTGATGTATCTTATTCCCCTGTGCTATAAACCCTTAAAACACAGCATTGAGCAAGAGGCCTTGTTCCACAATTACTACGATCACAGGCGCTGTACTTAAAATACATTCTGCTGCCATAAATAGTTGATAGAGCTCCAAATATGTATTGATCTGCAGCTGGAAATAGTCCCACAACATTCCCTCCTGTTTGAGTCATCTTTGGTAGAAACTACAAGGACCAGCTGTTACAGGGAATTAGGATTTGAAGTCTTGTTTGTTCAAACAAATGAATGTACTTCCTCAGTAGGGAACCACAGGCTCGCCTAACACGCCGTTGGTTTTGGTATTTGATTAAATGGAAACATAAAAGTATGCCAGAGAACCCCCCCCCCCCCCCCCCCCCATTTTTGAGGTATTATTGTATCACATATGTAATAATACTCTTACTGGGAGGAGGGAGCACCCCACACACGCCACCCCACACACCCCCAGAGCTGGAGTCTCTTAAGATGATACAACTACATTGTATCCCGTATAACAATGAATACTGCTTAAACAATCCCTAAAGATCTTGCTTCAAAATCCCCCACTCTGTTGAAGTTGAGTTGAAACGACTGCTTTATATGTAAATAAAGCATCGAAATGCTCAAAATTTGAGCGACATTTCCACTGCTTTATTCACATTGAAGCGGGACGGGACCTCAGGGTGGGCCGATGCAGCGGGTTTACCATCGGGGCCTAATGAGGAAGGTGATGCCGCCGCATAGATGCTGTCAGGGCTTTGAAGTCCGACTGAATAGACTCAACCCCCCGACGGCTTCCTCCACTCTGTCTTTAAGGCCCACGAGCCCCGCGGAGACGTGCCGCGGCGAGCGCAATCAAACAGCCGCTGCCTTCCATGCAGACCATCCCTCAGCCAAAGGCCTCCCTTTAAACATCGGTTTCAAAGGGCTATCACAGGATAGACGGTCGTGGTCGTCGTGCGAGAGCCTCAATTACATTCTGGTGATGGGTAGCAAAAGGGGTCCAGTGGGTCCAGCTGTGCCGGTCGCTGAGGCCAGCGGAGAAGTCCTTCACCTTCATCTCTTTATGTAGGTGGGCAGTCGCAGCTGCAGAAGTGACTTCTCCTCTCTCGGTCAAAGAAAATCACATGCTTGTTAACGTAAAGTAGTAATACGTTATTTTGATGTGTTCTAATTGAGTCATATGTTTTCCAGAACAAAGAATATACTTTGATACATATAATAGTCCGGAGCAAATGGGGGCGGAGAGAACAAGCGAAGGAGTGTTAGGATTCCCGATGTAACTGTGACACTCCGTAGGTAGTGTTCACTCAGCAATGTGTTGTCGCTCTTTTTAGAAAAGGCTTCGCTCGCTCACTTCCTTTCTCTTGAAAGAAAAAGTCTGCGAGCCGTTGCACCTCCGGAAAGCGCAGCAATCAGGGCTGCACACCATCACCGCCACTACTGAGGAGGAACTGGGCCCCCTAAAGATCCACTTTATTATTTTGAAAACATGCAGTTAGATGAAAATCATTCCAAATGAGAGATTCCAAACGCATGTGTCATCAGACCGCCTGTGCTCAGCTGTGTGACTGATATGAGACGAGACAGTCAGACATGTTTCATTTTAATTCACAGATTAGTAGAACAAGCGTGTGCTGCATAATTTGCATGATATTATCCCATGCAGTCCTACGTATTTTTAGCACAGCTCTTCATCATTAGCTGATATTATAGAAGGAAGACTTTTTCTTTGAGAGAGCCAAAGATACAGATAGAAAAGCCTGTTAGTTTCATCACACTAGCTGCCATACAGGGTGTGGATGGATTTTCAGTCGCATGCGTTATTGTGAGCACTTTCCTGATCCGCAGCCACACTGACTCGCTCGGGTCACAGGAATATAAACAATTAGCCGGGTTATTGAATCATCCCACAGCTCACTCCCCTTTGTATCCCTTTCTGCCTTTGAAACAGGACAAGAGGAAACACCGAGGTCCGAGCACCAAAATCACACCCAAGTCCCGTGAATTCATCGAAACGGACTCCTCCTCCTCGTCCTCCGAATGCCACTCGGATTCAGAGGAAGCCCTCAAGATCCCCGCGCTGCCGCCACAGGCCATCAGCACGCCTCCTCTGCCCCCATGCCTCGGGCCCGCAGGGAGCCTGGGGACTTTCGGAGGGAAGGGTCTCCGACTCAAAGAGGCCGGTGCCGTGACCACCAACGGTAGCAGCAGCAGCAGCATCGCCGGCAGTGCTAACGGCGGCAGCTGTAACACCCTGAGCATTGGCACCATAACCGGTTCATTCGGCACCTCTGTGCCCGATCCCGGAGGGTCGGGAGGTCAGCGCAAAGACCCGGCGTCTGTGTCGCCGCCCCTCAAAGTCGGACACGAGGTGCCCCGGTCACCCTTGAAGGAATACCAAGAGCTCCAGGGTTTGTGGGTGAAAATCGAGCTGGGTTTGCTGAGCAGGGTGCCCGGCCCGGGTACGGGGGAAGGATCCAGAGCAGGTCTGGCAGAAAAGGACAGGGGCGAGGGGAGGGACAGGGAAAGACAGGGGGAGAGGACAGCGGCGGCCGAGAGGGAGAGACAGAAGCAGGCCGAGAGAGAGTGGCCCGGGCTGAGAGAGAGGCCGAAGCCGAAAGAGGGAGAGGACACCGAGCGACTGGTGCAGGACAGGGAGAGGCAGGCGGACAGGGACAGATTACCGGAGAGGGAGAAGCCGACGGACAGGGGAGGACAGGGACCAACTGGGACCCGGGGAGAGGGAGCGGACGACGGGGAGGGACAGGGAGAGGTTCTGGACAACCCCCTTGTGCAAGAGCAGAGCAATCCCCGGCTGGCAGGGAGGACGGAGAGCAAACACCGGAAGCAGGCCGCCGGAAACACGGCGCCCCCATCGGAGAAACACGCCAACAAGAGCAAGAGGAAACACAAGGTGTCCTGCCGTAGGATTCATAACGCACTTCTTTCTCAATCTGTGTCCTTTTTTCTCTGTGAGAAGTAAAAAACGTTTTTTTCTGTCCTCTGTATTCCAGTCAGACCACAGCGAGTTGTCAGTCAACGGCAATAAGAAGCTGCGATTGGACAAAGACTGCCAGCTGCTCCCGCCCTCCATCTCTCCCGTACTCAACCACAAGAACAGCCTGACAGAGTGAGTGACGTACCTTCAAGGGATGGGCGCGTAAAAACATTTCTGTCCCAAACAACGCCAGTTAAAGCTGGAGGGGCCGTGTGTTCGCATTCGACACCGCTAACGGCTAACATGAGCTTCGCCGTCATGGTGAGGGCTCGATCGGCAAGGGCCCGGCCATAAGAGACATGTATCCAGCTGTGAGGACAGGTAGTGATTTATGGTGAATTGAAATTGCTAAAACTGAAAATTGCTCAGCGTCAGCTTTCCCACGGTCGTTCCGCAAACGACACGTTCTCATATTCCTGGGATTGACGCTGGCGGAGGTAATCAGACATGTTTACCGAGTATTTTTAGGCAAGCTTAACATTTGGAATGTGGCGTTGAAGACGCCGCCGAGGTGAGTTCCTTCCGCGCTGTGACACCGGAGTGACAGAGTGAATTTCGTCTTTCCTTGTGAATTATTAAAAACAGACTAAGCCGGCTGTCGCTATAAATAAGCCTTGACGTGACAGCGAAAGAGGATATATGTTTATAGCACCAGAGCGTCATCAGAGGAGGCACAGAAGGGAGCGGGGGAGAGAGAGAGAGGGGCGACCTGAACTTGAACCCGTGACATTGTACGGCAGACATCCCAGAGTGTCTGTTCATCACCCAAGAGGCTTTTTATGGAAGCTGTAAACTGGGTGATGTGATCATCCTGCTCAGACCCATTCAGCAGTCTCTAAACTGTGGCTCTTGACAGTTATTATTATCACAATGTTTTAATTATACCGGTCGTCATTTTAAAACGGATAATAAGAAAAGACTTTGAGGGACAAGTTTTTCAGGAAGGCTTAGTTTAGATATCATTGTTTTGTTCCATGTAAGGAATATGAATAGTCCTTTTAAATCACAGGTCATCTCTTTCAATGTGTCTGTTCAATGTATTATTGACAGTCTTGGATCACTCATAGGGGATTTTTGAGAGCATATTCAAATCCTCCTTCCCCTGAGCGCTAGAGTTGGTTGTCATTGATTATCAACAGCAGCAGCAGGCTAATCGCTAATGGTGACAAACAAAGGAAGCAGGCTCACTGTAGCGAGCTCACAGCTAGCGGGACATTGACAGGCAGTGTGTGGTTGGTGATGTTGAGGAGTTGAGACCACACTGGCATCCAATAAAGCAAAGTCACATTCATTAGTTCAAACGCTGTTAACACTCAGGGCCCCTAGCCTTTTTTTTGGCATCTGCTCTAAGTGAAGAAATAAATCAATATAATTTTGAGAATCGCCTGGAAAAGAAATCCCTAACAGCCCTAAAAGCCCTATAAAACACGGTGACACCCGGCTAAACACATCTGGGTTATAAGTGTTCATGGAAAAGCTTCACATTGATAGAGTAAAGATAAACTACTCTAGAAGAGGCTTTAATGCCGGCCCCAGAGCAGAGAAACGACAGGAGTCAAAGTCTGGATATTTGCCTAAATCCGGATGATTGGCCAAATCAACCAAAAATCGAATCATCTAAAACCTGCGTGGAAGGCGCTGAAATTGTGATGCAGATATATGGCCAATGCACGCTTCTCGCTCAAAAAAATCCGGAATAGTTTTCCATAATAGAAGGCCATTTGTGCTTCATATGCTGGATGCTTGGTGGTTATTTTTGCTCTGGCTTCTGCAAAGTTTGTCTAGGATATTATACTTCTATCAGGGTCCTCAGCGTTGCCTCGGGTAGCAATTTGGTGTCTCGTTTTCTTTGTTAGCTTCGATGAGAAAATGCACAATAGCACCGTTGTGTGCAAATGATCTGAATTAATTTAATAACATATTTAATAACTTGGAGTTGTGTTGGGAGCATTTGCAAACGGATAAGTGCTGATTCTAGCAAAGACTGTAATGTTTAGAACGGTGTGAAGCACATAATATCCCCCGTTGGAAGCCTCAAATCCGAACCAAATTTGTTGATGCTCGGGCAAAGAGGCTCCTGCATCCTACCAACTAACGCTAATTAGCTAGCGTTACTAGCCTGCCACCCGAGACTCGACATAAGACGTGCACGGTGCACGTCTCCCGTGAAGGACTGTTTTGTCATCGTTGACAGGAGGATGTGTCTGATCCTGTTTGTAAGTTAGATAAGAAGGAGCAGGAAATCTCATGCAGTCTGAGGCCCGAACCCAATGCACCCTGAGGCCTTGAAGCCTGCTCCCTCAGGAACCGAGTGACAAAATCAAAAGCAAAAGTTATAGCACACATTTGTAGCGTATAGACTGAAATGTCTCTGTGTTCATTTACTGTACAAGGCACTAGTGTGCTGTCCTCTTTGTTTACCGTGGGCTTCCCCTGTAAACATTGTGTTAAACGTCACAACTGGAAAGGGTGGTTAATTCCCTCAGGCGGTCCGCAGAAGTGCGACTGACGGAAAGTGTTGATGAAGAGCTCAACATTTCATAGAGAGCCGCTCAAACACCTGACAACCTGACAGGGGGACAGCCCTGTATGTATATTCAGGACTATGTGAATGTGTGTGCGCTTTTGTGTGTCGATCCTTGTTTGTGTTTGCACTTTTACGTATATAAAGCGTAAGAGCTTCCTTATGCTTTCCTGCACACACATTGGCATCCACTTAAGGATAGACACACACATTAGCATAGTCCTGCACACACAAACGTGCATCCACTAATCAATTATGCTGGACACACAAGCACACACACACACACACACAAGCACACGCGCACACACGCACTGCAGCAACTAATTAGTCTTTGTCTCCCTGGTTTTGTATATTATCACTAATGTCGGGGCCTGAGGCGTTGTTCTGCTAGCTCAGCAACTTCTCCCGCCGCATCAAACCCCCAGAGTTTCCAGGCGGCGGAAAAAAACATAAAAATATTATCTGTTGTGCTGCAAACAATGTGAGTCACAAGAGCAACAATAAGGCGGCAGGGGGAATTATCGTCGATGCTCGAGCAGAAAGGGCAGAATCACAGCTTTTTCAGAGGGAAAGAAATCACTCAGCGACTGCAAATTGAGTCTCAACAAGACTGAAAAGTAGGCCTCCACATGCTGTAGGTTTGTGTCTGTTGAGGAAAGAATGTGATGGCAAAGAGAAAGGAAGTCAAAAGGTCTGTTAACTGGCGTTGCCCTGAACGCTGCACTTGGTCTTTGTCAAAACGGGGCCCCAGTCAAGTGACAGCGAGCTGAAGCGGAGCTACAGAAGAACACGGTTAGTTGTGATCAGCCCCCTTTGAGAACCTCTGACACCCCAAAAAACATCTTTACTGGAATCCAGCAAAAAGTAAACACAGAAGGCCGCTTCTGATTTTTGGCTTTTTGTGTTCAATTATTTGTCATCACAGTACTAGCGTTAAATACAAAATACTCTAGCAGATCCTAAATATCCTAAATACACATGATAATATTCAGTTAAATCAATACAAACTTATACAGCTTTGTCTTTTTCGTGCCTGCGTGTGTGTGTGTGTGTGTGTGTGTGTGTGTGTGTGTGTGTGTGTGTGTGTTTGGCAGCTCGCTAATCAGGAAGCCGTCTCGGCGACGTGAAGACCAGCTGCTGCCGCCCCTCCTGTCGCCGCTCTCCGACGATCCACCTCGTAAACGAACCTACGACGCCAGCTCCTCTCTCGGCCTGGAGGGCGTCACCTCGCTGACCTCGCTCTGCTCCGCCTCTTCCTCCACTTCCACCTCCTCGTCCTCTTCCTCACACAGACACAGGAGAGGTGAAGGCAAGGCGTCATCGCACTCGAGGGCCGCCAGTGTAAGTGCTACTTATTGAATGTTTCTCATTTCCCAGCTTGTACATCCTCGATTCCTTTCCTCGCCTTTGTCCCGCCCGCTGCAAGCCGCCACAGCGGGGAAACGATGGAAGGAGATTGGAGAGGAGGCAAAAGGCATTTAACAAATGAGACAACCTTGCTTTGGAGCCGCCAACACAAAATATTAAACGCTGTGTGTCACAGCTGCATCAGATGTTCAGTTGTCTGAATCAATTCATGATGTCTGTCAGATGAGCACAACGTGTGTATTTACCACAGACAAACACACGAAACACAGCAATTCAGTGCTGAATAACAGGGAATTTTCTTATAGATAGAATCATTCGATGTCAGCTGCTGTTTACACTTGTAAACACGTCAGGATTATAGCGGTTGAGTTGGATGTAGCATTCAATGATCACGCTTACAGCACTTTGGATGCTCAACACAAAGGTTTGACGGTGCATTTGATCAAACTGATCATCTTGAAACTACAAATGAATAATACAAAAGGAAAACTGAAAAGACTCCTGGAAAGGACTGATCGGTGTATTGCTTCTTTATCCTCTCTCCTACTCTTAGGAAGCGTGACGTGGCGCTGAGATTGATTTTCAGGTCAAAAGACGGAGGATCTAGGAGACGGGGGGGTCGGGGGGGCTCAGAAACGAGAGTCCCATGATGACGTAATTGTAGGCTGGCGGCATTATCTTGTCGCAGAATAGAGTTGCTCCCCTGACGCTGACGCTGTTCCTAAAATACCTGTAAATGAGACGCCATGAATGTGAATGTGTATGTTTGTCACCGAAAGTTAGTGGAGTAGAAGGATAAAGTTGCATGAAATTGAATTGCCTCAAAAGATTGTTTTTGTACAGGAGAAGGTAATGAAGGCATGAAAAACAGCAGGATGCAAAAAGCATCAAACTACGAAATCTAAAAGGATTTACAAAACGTCAGTACATTGAAACATATTTCCCTGGATTTACATTTCAAGTTTCAGAAAAGCTAAACTGCAAAATGTTAAATGTGTGGGATTTGCAAATTGAATAATCCATCATAATGTTCTGTGGTATCTACTTGTGGCACACACACATCAGTTGAGTCAGTTCGATCACGGCTCTCCAGCTGATTTTGTTTGCATTCTTTCATCTCTTCTTTCTAACCGTGAGCTCAGCAGGCCGAGCGACTCCATCACTTAACGAGACGCCTTCGATAACGCTGAAGTCGCTGTTTGATGAACGCTGCACCTCGTAATGCCACCGTAACCCTGGGTTTAATGCCTTCCCTTCTTCAGGAAGTCAACACCCACGTTGAGAAGCCCAGCGGAGACGGTTACCATGCCAACGGACAGGCGGACTCCGAGGTGTGGTCGGAACCGCTGATGGACCCTGGGGAACCTCGCAGGCCACGACTGACATTTAGCAACACGTATGTGGGAATGCTGTTCATACCATACAAGGGCGAATGTATGAAAAATGTACAAAATAATTGCTGCTTAGTTGCTGCTCTTCCTGCCGTTGAAGTCTGTCAGCGACATTGTTTATGAACCCATGTTTATTCTTATCGTTATTCATAGGAGCTCGCCTTCTGCACGTATTGATGTTTGTAGTAGTCTCTCCTTTTCCTGTGTAGGGAAACAGCAGGTGTCTCCTCTTTGCAGCAGGTCTTGGCTGATATATATGTGTATATATATATATATATATATATCCATCCATCCATCTTCAAACCGCTCATCCGTCATACAGGGTCGGGGGGGGCTGGGGTCAATCCCAGCTAACTTCGGGCGAGAGACAGGGGGACACAGAGACAAACAACTATTCTCACTCACTTCCACAAACCACCTATATATATATATATATATATATATATATATATATATATATAAATAAACAAATATATATACACATATATATATCAAACTTAGCTATTTTTATTTGACTACCATGATCTATCATATGATCTTATATAGTACCGCATACCGGAAGCCTTTGCTACTCCCAAATTTGAACCCAATCAGAAAAGAAGAGCATGGTCCATTCTTGGACCAAAGTGAACCAATGTCATGTGATGGCATCCATGCGTGCGCATGATGATCATTATCATTGGTACTTCTGCAAGCTCTTTGTGTGTATCATGAGAAAAGGCTATTACTAATACAATTAAAAACACAATGTTTAACCAAAACATGTGGTGGTGTCACCAACTGACAACTTTCCTTCAGCGTTATCACAGCTCGGTTGAAGCCAGAACAACCTACACATCTATGAATAATTGGAGAGAAAAAGACCAACACATAATCCAAAAGGGACTGGAGGATAATTAGACGTGATAAGAAAAGGCTGTGGAGACCAGAAGAGCCTGACGAGACCCTCGCCAGTGACAGCTGCATGGTGCCCCCACAGTTAACAAGCAGCGATATGTGTCACCTTCCTCTACTGCAAGTCACACTGACACAGACTAGCTGCTAGCTAGCTGAAAGTTGCTAAGTTCCCAACACTGCAGGAGTTTGATCTTTTTTAAGCAGCGTTAACTAAATACACTAAATATACAAATAATAAATTCCGTCACCCTGTAGAAAAACACTACGCTGTCGTGCCTCATGCAGCTCTCTGTGTTGCACCTGCTGCAATGATGACGTCAATAAATCGAGAGAAACAAGGAGCATCAATCCGACATAAATGCTTTTCAATATACGTTACATATCTTTATTTCCTGCACAACGAGCATGAATCTAGAAATGAAATGATAAATATTCCCCAAATTCCAATTAACCAATATATACTTCTGGGGAAACACACTCTGGGAAGTATACTGTAAAATATTGTTTTTACAGTATACTTACAGTTAATATTATTATTATTCATAGTTTGAAGTTAGAAAGTTTGATGCTGTAGCTTTTTTGTGTATTTATATATACAGTATACTTTAAACAGACAATATACTGTTTATACAGTTTGACAAAATTTGCCTTGGCAATAAAAAAAGCATGTCAATTGTCGCTTTTTAAAGAAAAAAAATGGTTTAGGCACCGGTATCATTTTAAAGTATCGGTTTAGCACCGACGTCGGGAAAAAGCCAAACCCATCCCTAGTGATTGGTTTGCCTGTGTCATGTGACCAACTGCAGATCCCTGGAGGTTTCAAAGCAATTCCACTTTCTGTCCTTTCTGGATTCATGGCATGGGTACTGTGTTATATGCACTAAAGAGATAATGGATATTGATGTGCCATTGGAGGTCTCTCCTTCGTTGGCATAGTGGGACAGGTCTTCGTCCTGCTCGGGGTTCAGAGGATTAACACGACTCAGGGAGGACAGCCATCACCATGCTGCATATTAGGTGCTTTTAAATATTTAAACAACCTTACCCGTGGTCCAGTTGTGTTAAAACGAGAGAAAAGATGATACATCATTTTATTTATTTGTCCCAAAAGGGTTCCTGCATTATTCATGAAACAACATGTAATGTTGTTACTCTGAGCCTGAGGTGTGTAAACCCAAGTAGGCTTCTGTATACAACCCACAGAAAGCTACTAGCCAGTGATTATGTAAATCCTCCTGCAGGATTTTATTTATTTATTTGTTGTCACATGCTATATATATATATATATATATATATATATATATATATATATATATATGTATTTTATTTCCTGTGCTGTTTCTAGAGTCCACTGTGCTGACTACTACATGCAGGAGGCCAAGAGACTGAAGCACAAGGCCGATGCTTTGGTAAGATTTTGTCCACACACACAGACACACACACACATCTACAACTCCGTCCTCCATCAGATAGAGTCGGCATCGGGAGACGGACAAACAGACGGCAAGAAAATGATTTGATGACACCAAATGTCTGTGTGTGTGTGTGTGTGTGTGTGTGTCTCTGTCGTTGATCATGTGTGTGTGTGTGTGTGTTCAGCGAGTCTCCAAGGAATGAAAATGTATTTTACTTCAAGTGCCGCACTGTATAATGTGTGTTATTTATTGCACCATTTGTCTCTTGGGGAACATTGCATTCAAGGACTGATGATGTCTGCAAGATTATACAATATCAAAATAATGATCTGATCCCCTCCCCATCAGTGAAATTAGATTTATTTAACTCGGTACTTATTTTTCTGTGGGAGTGTGTGTGTGTGTGGCACAATGCTCTTCAGGTGTTGCTTATCCTGCCTTTGTCTTTTCTCTCTCTGTCTCTCTGTTCTGCTACTTTTCTTTTAAACTCTTTCACCTGTTTGGCCCTTTTCTCCGTCCCTCACCCGCCCGTCTCTCTGTCACCCGTAGATGGATAAATTTGGTAAAGCGGTGAACTACGCAGACGGCGCCCTCTCCTTCATAGAGTGCGGGAATGCTATGGAGCGAGATCCACTGGAGGCCAAGTCCCCGTACACCATGTACTCTGAGACTGTGGAGCTCATCAGGTACGGACACAGAGGGGACCTGGTCGAGTGAAGACTAAGATAGATACATGATATCTAAGCTACATTAGAGTATGTAAGATCTGTTGCAAGGAAATATACATGTGGGGTACTGAGTGGAAATTACCACATATGATTCTGTTTATTAAAAGGCTTTACATTTTTATAGTGCTGCACATCGTTCAAAAAGACAAAACCTGGAGCACTAGTCTGCTCCATGTACATGGACCCCAGCAAACTGAGGGACCTTTTTATTTACACCCGCTGATTGTATGCTGCATTTCATTGGTTCTATTATTACATTACAGTACAAGTCACTTTTTAACCCCTGGTATTTATACATTTTTGGCCCAGGGAGCATTTAGGGGTTAGGTGTCTTGCTCAGGGACCGGGGCTCAAACCACCAACCTTGCAGCTCCCGGCACACCGTCTCTACCCCTGCCCCAAGTGTCCCGATGAGTGTCTTCTCCCCGTGTGTACTGCCACCGCACATTTCCCTATAATTACACCTCACCGACCTAATGTACATTTAGCTTGTTAGGGGCAATAATATTCCATGGTTCCCCTCTCTGCCCTGCAGAAAATGACTAATCCGCATGTGAGTCTGGGAATGAAAACGAAAGTCTAATTAGCACAAAGCCAATGCTCTGCTCAGAAATGTCCGGACTCGCTAGCATTGTGTTTTATTTGTTTGAATCTTTGTTGTCTGAAGCCTCAGAGACCCGCGGAGCTGCTAAGGAGCCCAGTTTAACAAGCAGGTGTGCGTTTGGGGACCTCTGCGGGTCTTGCAGCCCATCCGGGGCGCAACTGTTAAGACAGCAAAGTGAGAATAACAAGCGACGGCCTCCTTTGAAGGCTGATGGCACGGTGCTGGAGGGCGGGAGACTCTTTCCCCTGAAGGACTCATGTTCAAGCCCTGCTTGTGTGCACTCATCCATCCTTGCTGAAGTGTCCTTGGGCAGGACGCTGCGTCGCCACCAGCTGACCCGTGACTATGGCCTTTGACCTCCAGGATGGAGGACAAGGATCTCCCCACGGGGATCAATGAAGTATAAAGATGACAGCGCTCCCACCTGATTCACCTGTCGCTGCTGCATCTCATTTGGAGCGGCAGCAGCTGATCCCCACAGCATCTTTGAAATACCTAATCAGGAACTCGGGGCTGCGCTCATCCATCAACAGAGAGACGGGGAAGCTGACCCGTAGCTTGTCCGGCCTAAGGGCACCTGAGCAGGGTGGAAATAAAAGAAATGAATCCCTGACTGCCATGTCAGCGCTTTTCATCCGTTAGGCTCAGAGAGAGAGCAGCTCCTTGTGTGATGTTAACCTCGGTTCACCGATGAGTAGATGTTTACGCAGAGATGTGATGAGCCTCTCTTCTCTGCAGGTACGCCATGAGGTTGAAGAACTTCACCAGCCATTCAGCCACCGTCGCTGAGAAGAAGCTAGCTGTGCTATGGTATGACCGTTCTCTGTTTATGTGTGTGTGTGTGTGTGTGTGTGCTGAGCACATTATCCATACCAAGGATTTAAGAAGTACTGAGTTCATGAATCTCCAAACACCAGGTCTACGAATTGTGTCCTAATGTTAAGATATTTTTTGTTTTTAATCATTTAGTTAGTAATAATAATAATAATTAGTTTGGTGGACTTTTAGCTTTAATACTGCACGTAGGACACAATGGTCAAAATGCTGCCATGCTGCCTGATCATTTTTCTTGGTCCAAATTGTGCTGAAATGTAAATGCAAGCGGAGTCATTTTTTATATTCTTTAGTCGTACTTGTGTGAGGTTCACCCGTACTAGTGTTTGATTCAGAAAGCCCTTCTAACTGCACAACGTGGAACAGATGAGCCGGATCTTTCCTGGTGGGCTGTTCTGCATGTGAGGCTCCACTCAGCAGAGACGGACGAAAACACATTCAAAGATCTGTAGTTACACTAAAGAGTTTGCTGTCAGTGAAAAAAGGAAGAAAAAAATATATATATGTGTGTATAGTTTGTTTTTAATTTATTTGAATTGATGTAACATTTTATATAATATATTAAAACACTGTTACTCTTTGTTTTTAACCCGTGTGTTCCGCTTGGGCATCAATGACTGAAATCATAAAGATGTGTACTTTTACTTTATCCTGTATTAGTAATATACATTTCTCACATTCTGTGCTTCACTCTAGTTCCTCCAAATCCGGGCGGACTTGTGTGGCTTGTTTGAAGTCCATTTTTGTGTGGATGACATGAAAATAATAGTGAGGATGGAGCTTTAAAGCGGATTTGCACAGAGGACTCATCTGCCTTCTTTAATGGTTTTGTTTCCATAGTAACCGCTGTCTGTCTCTGCTGTATCTGAGGATGTTCCATTTGAAGAAAGACCATGCTGTCAAGTACTCCCGATCGCTCATGGAGTACTTCAAGGTAGCACACACACACACACACACACACACACAGACACACACGCGCACACACACACACACACAGACACGCACACACACAGACACGCACACATACAGACACACTTTTGGACAATGACTTGCTCTCTTTGTCATTTCCTCCCTCTGCGGTTGAAAAACATATAAAGCCAATTACAATCCTTCAAATACATTTCATATTCATTCGTATGGTGCCTGTGCATTCATTTTGCTTGACATTATTAAAATCCATTCTTTCTCTTTGATATTAATGTATTAATTAGCTCCATCAATCCTCACAGTGGATTGTTCGGGTTTAATGTGCTTGTTTTGATTAATTACATTTGGTTAAATTAATTACTGAGGATGTCATTATCACAGTGAGCCATTTGCATTGATGGGATTGGATTCCTGGGAAGGGGCTGACTGGGGGTTTAGCTGTGTGTGTGTGTGTGTGTGTGTGTGTGTGTGTGTGTGTGTGTGTGTGTGTGTGTGTGTGTGTGTGTGTGTGTGTGTGTGTGTGTGCTCAGGCTGTGTACATACAGTACATGTTGAAAAAATACAATTAAAAATAAAAGAGTGAAAGCAGCGCTTCATATCAAAAGACAAACAGCACCTAAAATGTAACTTAATTAACTGTAACTTAACTACATGTCCCATTACAGTTTTTTTACAGTCGCTAGAACACATTTCTCAATACTTAGATCACTTTTTCAAAACTCTTCACACAGTGAGCACAACAGAAGTGTATGTGGGCTAAACTGAGGGTCAATTATCATTGCTTTGGCACAAAATGCATCAATAAATAAATAGAGAACTTTTGGCATCTGTGAAATCTGCTGGTTTTATTGCTCCAAGCTAGACGAGAAGATTGTCTTAGCTGTCTGCTCAGTATGCAGCTACCACTATCCGATTGTTTGGCTTAGTATGAAGACTATAAAGGGGGCTGTGCTAACAGAGCAACCAGGTAAACATCACTTGGGTAAAACCCAAACTGTGATCGTGTTACCTTCACATGGAGCCGGTCTTGCTGTTTCTACGCTTGCAGCCTTTGTGCTAAGCTAATTTTAGCTTCATGTTTTCGGACAGAATCTGTAAATTATGGCTTGTGATACATGTTATAATTTCTCCTTCTTCCCCCTCCAGGCTCTCTCTGTTCTTTGTTAGATATAATAACCAACACGTATTAATGAGTTTGTCTTTCTGTGACCCAGAATTCAGCCAAGAGTTCCCACCAAGAACCTTCTCCCTGGAGGATCAATGGGAAGTGAGTACACACACACACACACACACACACACACACACAGTCTCCCTCCCCTTCAGTCACATAGATAATTGAGAATTTATAATGCACCGGAGCTCGGCTTCAAAATACCATGGCGCCCCTGACAGCCGCTTGCTCAAACAAACCCCTCAGGAAGCAAATAAAGGGATTGATTTGTTGTAGATGTGAGGAGGAGAAGTCTGGAGGCCGGCGAGAAGGAGACATGGAGGGAGGGATGATGGATGGAGGAGGAGATGGGTGAAGGAGCTGTGGATCTGAAGCTAATGAGTTTGGACAGCTCTGATGCTTCACAACAGCAGGGCTGGAGCTCAGAGAGACTGTGTGTGTGTGTGTGGGGTGTGTGTGTGTGTGTGTGTTCTGGAGTGGGAATTAGGCACAAGGCGTTCGTTGGGTCAGCGCGGGTCAAGGCCACATCACAGACATTACATCACTGCCAGAGACACACACCCAGCTGTGCGAGACAGCGGAAGAAGTTTGTACCAGCAGGACTAATGTTACTATTCATAGAATATCAGAAATGCCACACACACACACACACACACACACAACAGACACACATTTAATACTCATAAAAGCCCTTTGGACTGACAACCATCACTGCTGTGTTGCATTTGATATACTTCCCTACAAAAGCCAAAACAACAGTGCGTTTAATTTCCACCATAATTGATGGGCAGCAGCATTTAAATGCTGTATTTCTGCAGATAAATATTAGGAAAAACTAATGTTGTTATTACTATACTATTTATAGAATTGGATTCCAGTGGTTGCTGTGTTATCACATATCTGGGGTTTAGGTGTCGGGTCATTAAGTTATGATCGGTTCCAGGTGGTGAATTAACGCATCTTATTGCAGGTCAGGTGGTTCAATTGTTCAATTGGGACATTATGGGTCGGACGCGTGCGAGTATTAAAAGCCCCGACCCGCGCTGTTGATTGATATGTTGGCTAACGTCGGTGGACCAGTAGAACAATGTACCACTAAGTGCTTTACTTCACTCAGCAGCCACTCAACCAAGACTTAAGAGGATTAAGAACCGCTGGTCCACATTAATAGCAACGCCCACCTTAAGTGAGCCCGGCCCGGGGATCAAATGACTCCATGTAATGTGAAAGCCCCCCCCCATACACACAGTATGATCAGAATCTGCTGTCCCTCTCCACTGCGCTGTGGAGCGTTTTAGTGCTGTTTAGCTCATTGTTCTGGTTTGTTTAGCTAACTTACTGTCTTGTAAGAGCCGGCTTCACTGGCTTCACCTTGTTTCCCTTCCATCAAAAATAAATGAAGAGAGACTCTTTTGATTCTTGTTTTCCGAATGACTGTGCAAATCTTCCTCCACACGCCAAAAGCTTTAAAACCCGCTGCTCTACCTGCCGAGCAACGAACAGCAGATTGAATATTTGCCTCAGGACACGCTAACGTCCAAATAATCCAGACCGGACCCTAAACGGAGTTCGCTAAGAATTCATGGAACCAGAGATTTGGTTGTTTTGGACCAAATTAGGAATTGGATATGACACTGTGGGACGTAGGGTGTGGAACTGTGAGTTTATATCAAACTCATATTCCTCAGGTGGCTGAAAAGAGTATTTTCTGTAAATAAGCGACTGTTTACGAACGCGTTTGTCCGACTTTATAAGGTGATTATATCTCCGTCTTGTGCTCCACTGCCTCCAAGTGGCCAAAGAAAATCAATAAATGCTGCTGTAATGGGACCTTTTTTGATCAGCTTGTTGCTTTCCGTTACAAGTATAGTGCTTGTTATCCCCGTGGCATCTCCTGCCTTTTTGTTCTGTCGTTGTTCTGATGATTTCTTTGCTGTTGTTTTTCCCCGTCCACCTCTCATCTCTTACGCATAGCCACTTAAAAATAATGCCTTTCTTCTTCTGCGCTGGCGACATCGGTCAAGCTGCTTTTAGCTGTCTTATCTTTAGAAAACAGAAAACTAATAAAGACGGTTTTCAGCAGATGCCTCCCTGACGCCAGTAAGTCTGTTTGGGAAATGATGCGACACACTCTGGTAGACGCTTTCCCTTTTGTTTGTTATCAAGTACAATCAAAAGCCCTTCCAGCAAACAGACGCTGCCCATCGACCGGCACTCACCGCCTCTGTTTCTACAGGGTTAACGGGACCCCGTCGCCCCTCTCGCTCAGCCCCTCCCCGGCCGGCAGCGGAGGGTCTGGAGGAGCCCCGGGCTCGTCAGGAAGCGTGGCCATTCCTCAGCGGATTCACCACATGGCTGCCAGTCACGTCAACATCACCAACAACATCCTGCGGAGCTACGAGCACTGGGAGACGGCCGACAGGCTGGCCCCCGACAGCCAAGGTAGGACCACCGATGACCTCAGGGCAGGTTGGCCTCCACGCCCACTGCAACAGCAGGCGGGTAGAAACACAGAAACACGTTCTCTCACTTGTCCCACGAAAACCAAGCATGACACAGTGTCTCTCCTTTTAGATACATGTATGTATATGCATGTGTATATATAGAGACCATGATTTAACATTGGCAGTGTTTTCACCAAGACGTTCCTGGTGATTATAAGGTTCCTGGATTTCTGTAGCGCCCTAAATATTAATAACTATATTTTTAATTTATTTATATATATATACATACAGTTTAATTCAAATGTAAAGTGGATGCCACAAGTGCATTCAGATAGAAACAACACCACCTTGCTACCGTCATATGTTTCATTTCAGCACGAGCAGCAGCAGATAGAGAGACCCTCAGTAACCCCCCCCTCATTTTCCCCTAGAGTTCTTCCTGGAGCTGGACTCGGTGATGGAGCCTCTGGGTCAGCAGAGCAGCATGACGGAGCTGGTGAGATACATCAGGCAGGGACTGCACTGGCTCCGCTTAGAGGCCCACCTGCTGTAGAGACTGGACCCCAGCCAATATGCACAACAGAAACAGAAATAGAGAGAAAGACATTTGCCTGGGAGCTAGAACTGGGATAACAAGTGAGATGAGACTGATAACAATGCCTCGGTTCCCACTGGGATCCTTCAAACGACCCGACACCACCCGCTGTAACGTAACGGCGTAGACTGGATGGATAAATTAGAAATACACCTACAATTAGGTCTTAGGGATGTCCACTGTGAATTACAGAACACCACGTAGCACATCAAACATTTGGCTGACGCTGCTTTCCGGTGCAACTTGACGTCGGTGCAGGTAGCTTCAATCCCTCGAGGGACAATAGCTGTTATAAAACTCCCTCTGCCCTGAATAGAAATAAGAAAAAGTATTTTTACAAAGACGGGATCATTTTCAAAAAGGAATGTGAGCGGCTGACGTGATTAAGGAGCCTGAAGGTAGGAGCTCAACGGAGGCTCATCTGCTGCAGCGGCGGCCTCCAAATGTGTCTGTGATTGGGACGAGAGCGAAGGCCTCAGGCTGCTATCGATCCAAGTGGAGTCCAATCCATTAGATGAGCAGCACGCCAGCAGAGGAAAGAGGCTCCACTTGGACCAGGAGAGCTGGATTGATGGAGGCTGAAGTTAGTCTTCTGCTTCACCTACCTGTGGGTCTGTCCCTCCGGTAATTAAACAACAGTAATCCGTCACGAGGCAAAGTTAGACATTGGAACTAGTCAAATTTTAGATTTTTAAATTTTTACTCCGATGTAGCCAGTTAATACTATGCCAAGTTTTAATGACAAAAAATGTATGATTAATATAAATATAATTACTCAAACAGTTCTTAGTCTACATAAATGTTTTCAAACTGTGTCATAGATTTTGAATTAAATTATTAGTTCCCTCATTAAAGAACGTAATAATGAATTTGACATTTAATGTCAGCTTTTCATACTTGGCAGATTCTGAGGATTTATGGCAAACATTTTTACACGTTCAAATGAATCTGAGCATTAGTGGTTGTCTCACTTTGTCCTGCTGCCATCGAGCAGCTCACATGTGATCTGGATCTGTCGAAACACTTAAGATGCACAGACTCTGTAACGGCAACATTAAGCTAGCGCGGCCGAGTATTACAACACCTGGTTTACAAGTTTACAGCTCAGCGGAACAAGTCGGTCCTACAAATGGAGCCTGGCTCCATCAGAAAAGGCATTTGTCGGCTTCTTCTCTCACTGGTTACGGGCTTTTTGTGAAACTCCTCACAGTTCTATTTCCCACAGTAATCCACCCACTGAGGTGTCAAACCGCTACAAGGGGAAGAAACTACAAGACTCGCTGCGATTTGGCGCCTGATTAAGCCCCCACCCACAGGCAGATGGGGTAAACAGGGTGAAGATCTCACATGCGCTTTTCCGCCCTGATGTCAGAAGAAGTCTGTACGACTTCGTACATCTCTTAATGAGGTCAGATCACCTGCCGGGTATCTTGTAGACGCTTCCCAAACATGTGTCGTGTCGTGTCGTTAGTATGCATTCGTGTTATGCTGATTGTCAAGTCTAGAAATCATTGCCTGACCGAACAATACAGATGTTTGTGTACCATATTGTACATACTGTGACTCCTGGAAACAGTGTTTTGTGAATGATTTAATGTTAATGAATGAGGAAGCGAAATAAGAATATATATATATGTATATATATGTATGTATATATATATATATATATATATATATATAGATGTATATATATATATGTATGTGTGTGTGTGTGTGTGTGTGTGTGTGTGTGTGTGTGTGTGTGTCTAAGAGAGACTGATGCAGTCTATGACTGTGTGTCCATACACAGGCCATGGCTGCATTTACACAGTGCCAAACATAATCATATTTTTAACCCTTTGTGGCACTTTAAAAAACAAAAAGGAGTCGCTGCTTGTCTTCTCCTATTTTCACCAGTGCCATGAAGTTTTAAAATCTGGATTTGTGTCTATGGTCTCTATGAATCCAGCACATCAAGCATGAGTTTGTTTTAAGTTTTGGATCCTTCGACCATCGCGGAATGTGTATGGAAGACAATGTGGATGTGAAAAGTACTTTTCACTTTGACAAAAAAAACTGAAACTCAAGTGCCTCTTTTTGTGTCTGTGGGAATTGCTCTATTTATTTAAGAACAAAGAATTAATCTAAATGATTTTTCCATACCATATTGGTATAAATATGAGATTGTTTTTCGTAAAATCAAAATGTTTCCACGTGCTTTTTACTGGCGTTAATGATATGACACCAGGGTTTGGCTTTAAGAATAATGTGTTATTTAACGTGTAAAATTTGCATTTGTTGCTGAGGGTTTTATTTCTGGATGATTTGAACCAGTATGGGTTTGTCTAAAATGCCTGAAAAATTTAAACCATCGCATGCAATAAATGATAGCTTCAGACCCAGAACTAATCACTTTGAAAAAGGAAAAAAAATGTATATCAATGTATTTCTTGTCTCATAGTTATTTACAGTGTGAATGTTCAACATCACCTGAAAATGCAGAGCTGCTTTAAAAACGAACATCAAGGACAACAAGTCGGTCAACGGGAAACGTTTGACATTTTAAGGGAGTACTCTTCTTGCAAAGTTGAAGGTTTATTCTACTCTCGCGTCTGTTCGCTAAATATGAGGCTAATGCCGGCTGGTTTGCTTATCTTAGTTTAGCTTAGCTTAATTTAGCTTGACGATAGCACCCACGAGTGCAACACAGGGAAAGAACGAACACTGACCTGAGCACCCGGTTTGTGTTGGCTGGAGATGTAGATATAGGCAAGGACGGCCAGTAGCCAGTCTACATCACCAAAGTTGTCTTTTAATACCCTCTCAACTATCTTTCCCTTGAAATCTTTGAAATAAGATGGTTCGATGATGAATTAGCAGTCTTTGCAATAAGCTAAGCTAGCTGTCTGCTGACTTTGGCTTCATATTTAGCTCAGCACCGTCATCCCAGAAATGTAAAACTACTCCTTGTTCTAAATCTGAAAGCTGAAAGTGTTTAGTGATGAGAATTTTTGGGTAACAGTATAAACTGTTTTCGTCCAACCCCAAAAAGGCCTTTTCCACTTTATTTTGCATTATTTTAGGTCATGAAACCAAATTAGCAGCGTTCCAATGAGCCTATGAACTTCAACAGCGTCCAACAGCTAACAAAGCCCCCCAGGCCGTTTGTGTTGGACCTCAGTAGTTCCAAGTCAATAGATGATCCACAGTGTTAATCAGTCCAATTCAATGATGTTTGATGTTGTTTTGTTTAATGGTGAAAACAGTGATGTTACTGTACGGTTATTGTTCATTTCGCAAAATGGTCTTTCTGTTCGATAACATGCAGCGGTACAATATACTTATTCAATAATATGCTATAAAATGTCATGAACATTGCATTGGTGACAACATGGGAATCCCAGTGTTCATCCCAATACGCTACACGTCACAAGGTGGCTGTGGTCAATACAGCAACAACAGTTCTGTTGACTATATGCAAAGTCGCTATGTCGGTATATTCGGAGACATTTTGGGGACACACGGCCTCAGCATGGACTTTTATTCTGCTGACATCTTATTAAATATCTCATTAGCACATGTAACATTATCACAGTTGTCATCTTGTTTATCAAAAGCAGCAGTGACGGAAACATCGCTGTTGGTGTGATTACAATAGGGGGCTAAACAGACTCATTTCTTTTTTGACACCAGATGGTTACAAGCCGATAATACGCTGATAATCTCTCCAGTGGTGATGAGTGTCTCTAATATTTGTTTGCGTTTCAGAAAATCAGAGATACCCTCTGATTGCTTAGGGAATTGCCAAAACCGCCTCATACAGTAAATAAGTATTTATAAGGATGATTATCTTCTGAAATTCCTGTAATCTACCAGAGAGCAGCTTTTTTCTTACTCTTTCTTGTTCTTTTCATTTGTCCACAGTTGTTTGGTCACAAAACTGTCAACTGAGATTATTCTTTATTTATCCAAACAAATATTTATACAATATAATATTTGTTAGGGATGGAGACATTGAAAAAAGGTCCGTTTTTTTATTCATGCTTTAGTAATAAACATCATTGGTCTCTTGAAGGCTTAGTCGGAGTTAGATGAACTAATGTGGACAAATATCTTTTATAGAACACACCACCGAGGCGAATTGGTTCTACAACATGATTACTGTACCTGTATTCATTTATTAAGCAGTTCAATACATATACAGACAAGATAATAGATTCAGCACTAAATATGTATCAACCAAGACACTGCAGGCGTTTAAACTAGCTTAGCATAAATACTGGAATCGGGAAAACAGTTATCTTGACTCTCAAATAAAAAAGAAAAATAGCCCCTCTAATGGTCACAATATCAACACCCTGTTTCTCGTCTAGTTGATCCATAGAGCAAACAAAACTCCTAATAACTAGTTCCAGAAACGTTATTGTTGCCGGTACTTGCTTGGCTGGTTTCACCGTCCCATGTGCAGTTTCCTTGTTTCCTTCTTGAGTCACAACAGTGTTAAATGATGCAGGGATTGAAAATGGCCCAGATGAAAACAACCCAAACACAGAAAGTTCAACCAACAAAACATCAAGTCTGAGCACTTCAGTGTTTTCATTCATTATGATCCCTGCGGTGGAAAACTGTCAGCTGAACTCCACGTTTCATCCAGAATAATCTCTAAATGTGCAAAATGTAGCTGAAACAAATCACTTCTCCACCACCAGTTGTTGTTGGGTCCTGATTTTTACGGAACAAATACAGCCTTAGTCATAAACGTCTATTTATTAAGTCCACCAGAAGACGGTATTCTTGGTGATGACCCGCTTTACTTATTTCGAGTATACAATATGATTAAAATTCATGTGGCATTTATTGATGTTAAAATGCTACATGGCAAGTGTTGGGCATCCCAATATGGTTAAATCAGCGTATTTTAAGTGGGGGGCATTGGTGTTTTTTTGAGACGGGCAGCGACGTGGTGCCTCCGACAGCCTGGAAATTCTGTGGTTCTGATGTACAAGCTACAAACTAAACACAACGCTGAAAAGATTTTACAAAATTACACAAGAACACAAGAACACAACTGTCCAACATGGATTGCATTGTATTTTTAAATGTGTTGCACAACTTTGGCTATTTTTCGGTTTCTATCAGTGCTATCTTTTGGCCTTTTATATGGTTCTTTTTTTTTTATAAAAAAAAAGTTGTTCTATGTGATGATCAGAAGTTGTGATGCAGTTCCATTGTTTTTAAATATTTAATGTCTCTAAAATATGGATTAAAATCTGTTGAACCAGTGGTTGTGCTGCTCTCATTGTCTCATTTGTGTCTTGAAAAAAAATGAAATTGAACATTTTACTGGGCTGCATTTCTTTCATAAAGAGATTGGACTGAAGACGCTTGATAATTACAAGAAAACAACCTTGCTTTTATATTGCATTGTGAAGTTCTATATTCAGTTAGGTAAGCAGAAAGAACTCGCCAAAATTATTTCAAACATGATTACAAGCAGCTTACAGTACAATCACGTTTTCCTAGTGAGTAAAATCAGAGTTATATAAATAAGACCCTTGCCTGTGAGTGGCCGTAATGCGTCAAGAGCGAAGCTAGTCTTCTTATTACCGCTAATGGACTCTTATTTTTACATCATAGCAACTATTAGCCCACTTCACCATGCGTGATTAATTTGCTGAATAAAGCCGCACATTAGAATTCAAGAGGGAGCGAGGCTGCGTGTTCTGAGAGACGCTGGGAAAGAGATGCATGGACTTCAGACTAAGCGAGAGAAATGTGGAAAGACGAGGAGTCTCGTGTTAAGGTCCAAATGAAGGTACATTTCCTGGGTGACATAAATGCCATCTAAGTGAGTGAGGACGTGGAAAGCCCGCTTGCAGACCCTTAATGTTGGCTGAGTGGGTGTCCTTGTTGCAGAGTCAACGCGCTTCCAACATTGAGTTATCGGTCTAATTACTAGACGCACCCATGCGGTCCATGGGCAGAATTTTGATTTGGAAAGATAATTCATATAGAAAAATATAGCAGATTGATGAAATTAACCAATATGTTGGCTCGTGCCAGTGAGATTATTAACTTAATGTAAAAACAATAAAAGTGGAGCAGTAAAGCAAAATATGTCAATTGAGGAATTAAATGATTTTCTTTTATGGTTCTTGCGTTACTCTTGACTAAGTATGTCAAAATTTCCCGTCTCTTGAAGAACTTAAACATTCATAAGAAAAGAAGAAAGACAGAAAGAAAAAGAAACAATTATGATCGTGGCAGGTATCTTGTTTTTCTATAACAATCTAGATAAAACGTTAATGCCCTGTTAGTGGCAAATAGCCTTTCATTACCATCCATCCATCTGCAAACCGCTGCACACAGCCAATCACAGAGCTACACACAGACACACAACCATTCACACTCACATTCACACACCTGCGGGCAATCAACCTGATCCCCACTACTGATTTGATTACATACATTTTAATAATTAAATTAACTATTAATAACAGTGAATTATGCAATTCACAGAGATTAATTACTACTGAGAGTCATACTTAATCACTATTACAACTAGTAATTGTTGCCCAGCACTAATAAAAGGTCCTACTATGATTGGTCAAAATAACTTGTGTTTTAGCACACAATTTTGTAAGTAATAGAATACTATGTTGAAAAAATGTGTGAGATCGTTTTTGGAATTCATTATATAGAAAAAAGTTTTAAAAAGTCACACAAGAAAGTATGTAGTAAAGTGAAAAAAGTCATAGAATGTAGAAACGTTTACAGTATTCTTTGTGGTATATATATAATAATGCAATTCATTCAAAACAAAAAAAATATATATAGTATGGTGTGTTCAAAAACATACATAATGAGTTTGACAATTATGAAGTATGATAAAATAAGTACAAAAAAGTCACAGAATAGTATGTCAGATAAAACTCCCAGCAGTAAGATTTCATATTTGTCTAAAAAAAGCCTCAATGGAGTGACTGAGAAAATGGGAAATTCAAATTCAAAATGGAAAAAACAATGTTACTTTAGTTCTAAACATGTTTGGGACGTCATGTATGAGACCACCTATCTAACAAAGCATGTGACCAAGCTCAGACCAAGGCAATACTATTTCAGAAGTTTTAATCTAATTCTCTAAGTCTGGGATTTCTAATACCATCAATGACATTTAACAGAAAAGCTTTTCCCCCTCAACAGGTTTTCCTCACCAGCCACTTAATTACAGCGATTCCTCTTCATTAAAAGAAACCCCAATCACGAAATTAATTCCCTCAATCTTACAGGCAGGGTGGCAATTTTAATAGAGTGTCCCTCATTCTTTGCCACATGTTTAAAAGTCCATCGTCCATTAGCTAAACCTGCTTATCCTTTGGAGGGTCGCAGAGGGCGACCGGAGCCGATCCCCGCTGTGATTGGTTGAGAGGCGGGGGACGCCCTGGATCGCCTAGCGGGATGTCACAGGGCGGACACACGTGTCTTTGGACTCGGAGAGAGAATAAAACGTCCACACAGAAGAAGAAAAAAAGGCCCAGCTGGCCCCACGGCTAAAGGGTTAAAACATGAGGCGTCCAGTTCTGCTCCGCGGCTCCAGAGGCGTCACGTCCAGCCAGGCCTCTAATTGGCTGCTCGCTTTGATGTTCCACGTGTCCTGGAGATGCAGATGTCCACATGGTGGGCGAGAAGAGAGAGACGCTGTGGCGCGACGCAAGAGGTTAAAAGCCCACCGGCTTGCTGCAGAGACGCGATACCGTGTACCTGATGAAGGCCAGCTGGATATCCGATGTTCCTACCGTCAGGGGTCAGAAATCCAAAGGTCAGTCAGCGGGTGTCGCTCGAGTGCGCCTCCACACAGGGATTTGAATCGTCGCGGCTGATTAGACCGCTGCCGTGCAGGCAGCTGAGTGAGGTCGCCAATCTCTATAGAATAATAAGAGCGATAATGTGAACCGCAGCAGGGAGAAAACAAACCAACCTACTTGGGAGCCGACACACTGAGCTATAAATGCCCTACAAGTACGATGCCAAACCCGGCCAGATGAACCACTGTAAGCGGCTTAGTAGCTTCGAGAGTAGAAGAGCGCAGAGTCGGCTAAATGAATTTGGCTGTTGGGGGGAATGTCCCCCCTCCTTGGAGAGATACTCTGAAACCACTACTAGTTGTTTGGAGGCGGACGGTCTCTCTCTCTCTCGTTGATGCTGTGCCTGTGTAGTCTGCAGTTCGTTTACTATCCCTGGAATAATGCACAGCTGTGCACACACACACACACTCACACTCACACACACACACACACACACACACACACACACACACCCTTGAGACGAACCCTCGTCGTGATGCAGCTGAGATAAGCGTTTTTTTGTTTTCTCTTTACACACTCCCCCTCTAAAGGTAATTGTGTATGTCAGCAACGCTACCAGAGAGGAAGCGTGACCCGCTAGAATATGAGCCTGAGCGGTGATGCGATTACCAGCGTGTGAAACATAAAGACAGACGATGAGAGCGAGACGCAGCGGATCGGAGGGAAGCAGCAGGTAAGATGGAGCGAGGAAAAGGCAGGTAAACACTAACATAATTACTATCGGATCAATTTGGTGGTGGCCAGAGATCACCGCTTGTGATGATAAATATTGATCTGGTAAAACCACAGGCTGAAATACGGCCCGCCGTCAATTCAGGACAACAGAGCTAAAATAATGCGGACCTCTGTTGGTCAGCTGATCAGAAACACTAATCCAAATCAATGCCTCCGCTCTGCTGGTGTAAATAAAGAACCATGTGCTGGATGAGTGAATGGGGACGGTTTGCTCTGCTAAAGGGCTCACTGGGGTTTCCCTTCCACCACAAACTGGAACTCAACTGGGATTTTTCCCCTTTTGATCAACATCCATAGTACTTTGAAGGTACAAAACACATTTTATTGTGACACAGACAATATTGAGAACAAAAAAAAAATCAGGACTGTTTGTCAAAACAAAACTGAAGCTCAGTCAGAATGGATGAAGACTGAACAGCAATTTACAAATCTTCCCTCTATATATTCCACATTGGATTGAAGTGTGGGCTTTGACTGGGCCATTGCAGCTCTCGCTGTATGTTTAGGTCCTTGTCCTGCTGGAAGATGAACCTCTGCCCGAGTATCAAGTCGTCTGCACTGTCAGGTTTTCTTCAAGGATTGTCCTGTATTTGGCTCCATCCATCTTTTCCTCAACTGGCTAGTTTCTCTGAACGTGCTAGAGAGAAGCATCCCCACAGCACGATGCTACCACCACGTTCCCTGTTGGGATGGTGGGCTCAGGGGGATGAGGGGGGTTCAGCTTCCTCCACACAGCGTTTTGGTCTCATCTCACTGGAGCACCTTGTTCCTCATGTTTGCCGTGTCTCCCACATGGCTCGTGGCAACCCCTAAACACTGTTTCTTATGGTTAACTTTCAACAGAAGCTTTATTCTTGCCACTCTTCCACAGAGTGGACCAGATGTGTGGAGTACACGGCTCATAGTTTGTGTGGACAGATCATTTATCATGGCCCCGCTTTGTTCAGTACTGCTCTAACAAACAGTGAGACCTTCACAGAACACGTGTACTTATACTGACAATACATTGTGGACCTACGTGACTTGCAAATGACTTATAAAGGCAATTGGTCGCACCAGATCTTTGTTAGGGATTTTACAGTAAAGGAGTTGAATACAGACGCACTCACGTTTCAGATTATTTGTAAATCATTTTGAAATCCATGTAGACTTTCCCATGACTCCCAGATGGACTATTTTGAGTTTGTCGATTACATAAAATCCCAATGAAACACAGTTGAATCTGGTTATACCATGACAAAATGTGGAATCCTTATGCAACATACATATAGCTTTGCAAAGATCTATTTGCCAGACACTTGTGTGCAGGTGGAGGATAAAAGCAGATAAAAATATTGCCCCATAGAGAGACTAGTGGTGAGAACGCCACCTTTAAAGGACAAACATTAGTGTAATAGTTTGTTGCCCCACAAAACATTGTGCACGATCTTTAATGGATTATTCTAAAACATAATTCAAAGGGATCATAAGGTAGAAATCTGAAGGTAGATATGAATGTTGTGTGAGATGTGAAGGGCGTCTCTGGTCTTTCGGCTTTTTTCCCCCCAAAGCGTGAGACAGTTTGGGTGAGAAAAGTCTTCTCCGCTCCAGGAGAAAAAGGAGCGCTCGCTCGCAGGTGAGGGCCGTAAAGTGGGCTTTGTTTCTGAAAGACAACAGAACATGCTCAACTTTCATTGAAAAAATAGTTTATTTGTTTGCGACTGCAGTTATTTAAATCAGACATAAATATATTAACAGCATGTCCCTGCAAAACTACAGATTTGAATTATTTCTGCATCATTGATTTTTTATTTTCCTCCAGAAAGCTTGAGATCACTCAAAGCTGCTCTGACGCAACCAGACTGCAGGAGAAGCTCATCTTCGTGTCGTCGGTATCCGTCTGTGTGGACACTTTAGATCACTGCTGACAATCGTTAAAAGGACGCAGCGACACCAGAAAAACAAAAATAAAACTGTCACCAATTCCCTGAGAACAACCGTGGAGGGAATGAAGAAAACCAAAAAGGGAGCCAATTCAATAAGGCTTGGTCGGACATACAATCCATGCTGATTACATGAATCATCTGCATCCCATTAACAGGAAGCCAGTGTAAACTATAATAAGAGCTGACGGACCAAAACCCTGCAATTCATTGTTGAACACAAAATTCAAGCCGAAATTGCTGTCTAACAACTGCCACAGCGCATGCATCGGAACAGCAGTGCGAGGGGCTGCGGTCCGTTTCATTTGAATTCAATTACTACACGTGGTTCTTAATCACTCTGCGTCCGCAAACTGAACCGCACCGACTGCTTACAGGGAGGGGGGCAAATAGAAATGTCACATTCTTTAACACTGCAGCGCAAACGTGTGAGAGCCCCTGTTAGCGGTTGGGAAGTGGAGAGACTCCCCGAGAGAGATGGAGGACCAATAAAGAATAACTAGTTATGTTTTCCTCAATAATAATTTGGATGAAGAAAAAAAAACTGCAAAATAAGAGCTTTATAGGGGAGGCGACACCATCACAGCCAATCAGAGCTCATGCTTCTGGGTAAAGTTGATCATAACAAAGGTTTCACTGTCAGCTACAGAAGTGTCAGCGTTCAGGGTTGAATAGGCTTTTTTTACGCTACAATGAGCCAGCTGCCATTAACATTAGCTTAGCATAAGCACAGGACGCCAACAACACGGCACACAATAAATAAGTTATATTTCCTTTGTTCAGTCAGTATGAACAGTACAAACTTCCTGCCCGGGCACAGCGAGTTAAAAGGCGACAGACGCGTTGCTTTTAGGAGCAGTGAGATCAACCAATCAGACTTTCCAGTTTCCCTTTGTCAAAGAAAAAAAAACACCCGGCATAAACGCTTTCTTTTTCACTTTCACTCATGTTGAGCTCAGATCTGCCTGCCAATGAGTTCTTCACAAGGAACATTAGCCTAAGGGACTGAGCCTGAAAGATTAACAGTGATTTCACATAATACTAAATCAAGTATGTGTTATATTAGAAAAAATATTCAAAGCGTTCTCCCTTTCTGGATAGTTTATCCATCCATCTTCCCTTAGTACTCATCTCCATCTGTTGTAGTCTCATTCCAGTCATCACGCCTTCCCTCGACTCGTCTTCCTCCCCGCTGAGAGGTAGAGGAGCTGCAGCCTCATTCGCATCTGCACACTCGCAGTCTGGACAGAAACCAGAGTCAGACAACAAGTGAAATGAATAAATCATGTATTTCTACAAAAAAATGAATCCAAACGTACCCGAGGCAGACTCGTCATCTTTGCCATCATCAGGCTGTGGTCAAAGACACTGTAGATGTTCTTGTCCTGACCGGGGTCGTCCGCCAACATGTAAAGCTCCCCAGCATGGACATCCGACACGTTCACCTAGACGGAGAAGCCGGGGGAGGGACGGACAAATCACACAGACTGACCCTGAAACGTCCCAGGGAGGAGCCAGATAGGGACACGTGGACATGTGATGACTAACCTGAAATGTTTTCGGGTTGAAGCCCAGCCAGAGGGTGTATCTATAGTCCCAGGAGCGCAGAGAGTAGCCCATGATCTTGATGTCTTCGAGGTCGGGGAGGTCAGAGTTCACCTAAGGAAAGAACATTGAATATAGAAGTGTAGAAAACGCTTCTCCAGATCCGTCGGTCGGGTACGCAGCTGCCAGCTGGTCCTGATCTGCAGCAGGTGCAGCACTGGCTGGGACGTCTTCATCAGAAGATCTGGTGCGAGCAAGCGCACGACGCAGAGAGACTTTGGTCTCCACGACCGTCACTAACATTTCAGTCTACTCAATCCATTAATTAATAGATATTCATTGAACGGATCTCCCTGAAGGAAGAAGAGAAATGGAACCTTTAGGCCGCTGATAGACGCTAAACCCTGGTACCTGCGGTGTATCGGCGGGTCGAGGGTACTGGCTAAAAGAGATGGCTTCCTCGTTCTGCTTTCGTTCCTGGTGCCGCAAGGCGGAGGCCATGTTGTCTCCTTCTGTACACAACTCCTCCTGAAAGCCAGAAGACGGGCCAATGGGAGGGAAAGGAAACAAATGTCAAGTCCCTTACGCCACATGGGTCGCGTTTGGGGTTGTTTACCGAGTGTGCACTTCGATTAACTTTGTTTGCCAATGTTTATACACGTTCCAATTGAACCGGAGGTGCATGAGGTCTTGTCTGGTCTGTTCTGTTCTGTTCTGTTCTGTTGCAGTTGATGTGAAGTACGAGCTCGGCATGACACCAAAACGTGGTTTCAACTTCAGCCCAAAAGGATCACTGATGTTCAACAAGCTTTATCAAAGTTAGAGACTGAACGACTGTTTGAAGACTATTCGTGTCCAAGATTGAAAGATAAAGAACAAGACTGAAGGTCTTCAGTCAGGTCACAAAAGCTGCTCTGTGAGGCCGTAGTTAGTTCACTCTACAGGCTTTTCCTTCACTTCACACCAGATATCTACATACCAACTCAAATTAGCTTCATGTTTGTAGCAACTTGTTAACATAGGGAAACAACCACATGCCTTGAAGGTACTTTTTTAAATGGGCCGAATTTATATAATATTTTGTATATACTTAGTGTTTAGTTTAAGTGCTTTGTGGACATATTGCATGTAAACACATGCTGATGAGTTTCATTAAGTGGAGGATATTAAAGTCAGAGATTGAGGCATCAGTCTGGACCAAAGCCAACAGATTAAACTGGTAAAGACAGAGATCACACTGTAGATACAACCACACCTTCAGAAGGTGAAAAGTACTAGACTGATGAAACACATCCATACACACCTGGAAGGAGATGTCAGGACAGCGTTTGGGTGCTTCGAGGCCAGCCAGGTGGGAGAGCGTCGGAAAAACGTCCACCAGCTCCACCACGTTTCTTGTAACCTTGTTGTCTGGAGGAGAGACGAGGCAGCCAATCAGCGAGGCTCAATTACCAGCGGACAGCGAATTAGCCAACATATGCACCAGAAGCCCCGCTCCTCAATTTCATCATCATTGCACCATTTGCACTGGGAGTAAAAATATCAAAGTGTATCTTCATCTAAATACTTCCTGGCGCTGAGAGGAAATCAAAGACTTCATGCAAGTCAAGTCGGCTCAATCATACAGCTTTTATATGAGGAATTAGGAAATGTTACGTCAAACTTGAGTTGCTTTTGGATACCTGACACACAGCGCCACTACATGTTAGAAAAAGGATCGGCCGTGCATTGTGTTACTCAATAGTGAGTGGTGGTCAGCGAAGGGGTCTTACTCTCAAAGCGGAGCTGTGGCTGGGTGACCACATCAATAAAGGGAAAAGTAGAATCTTGCAGCCAAGTGCTCCAGCTGGTGACCGAAGGAACGTAGAAAATGAGGGGGACACGTGTCGCGACGTCAAAATTGGAATATTTAGCCCATTCGCCGTGTTCTCCCAAGGACCACCCTGCAACGACAGGGAAACAGATTAGGAAAGACTGGAGGCAGACTGGGAAAGTAAACCCAACAAAAACCAGACCCATGTCATAAAAACAATATTTTAGAGTCCCAGTCATCAAAACAGTCATGAAAGGCTTCACTCTGATGTCGTCCGCTGAAGGAGATATTAAAAGAAATGGAGTTTCCAAAGTCTCTTTTCTTTTAAAGGAGGTAGTGCAAGAAAGTGTTGGGATTTTAGAGTAGAGCTAAATATGTGCAAAGAGGCAATGGAGCAATAAGTGTGCTGCTACACCACTGCCCCCTGGTGGCGATAATAAACACTTATTGTGCACCGAGTGGCTGATTATCTGACGAGGTGCAAGTCGCCCGTTCGCCCACCGTGGTCCGAGCACAACACCACCACGGTGCTGTCCGCCAGCCCCAGCCCGTCCAGGGCACCGAGCAGCCGCCCGACCTGAGCGTCCACGTAGGACACGGCGGCGTAGTAGTGCTGACGGATACGCAGCTGGAAGACAAACTCAGTGGGATTTATTTTTAGGGAGGGTTGTAAATGTTGCCGGTATTGTGAAGTACTGTTGGTACCTGGAAGTCTTTGGGGATCGGCCCGTAGGGGAAGCTGATGTTGAGCTTTTGGACATCGTCTCTCCTCCTCACGTCCGCCCAGGGGTTGTAGGCCACGGGTGGAAGCAGTGTGGGGACATCAGGGTCCGGGGCCAGAGTCATTTCACCAATGGGATACAGACTCAGGTACTCCTGTGTCGCAGAAGCACCAGGTTTAGAGATACGCTTCATTAAATCAGCCAAACAAATAAAACTGATTACTTTTAAAACAACACACACACACACACACACACACACACATCATTTCACATATCCTGAGAACCACTCAGATCTACTTCAATCGAGTATTTGTGGGGAGCTTTTTTCAAATTTAGACAAGCAAAGGGTTCAATGTTAAAGAGTGAGAAGCAATGGAAGGAATACAAAGCCGCTCTGCCACTGTGTGGAGGAACTTTCCATTCTAGGATGCAGGATATTTGAATGATTAATGAATCAGTTATAGAAGCAAAATGTACCCAATAATACAAGGACGTTGTTGTAAGCACAGTTCTTGTTAGGGTGGGTAGGTTGCTTTCCTGTATTTTCTTATTTTCAACAAATACACCCCCACATAAACGTTAACGTGGCACCTTGATGGGTCTACATTTGGGCCTTTGCAGCATCACCCAACACGCACTAGTGCAGAGAGAACTGGCTTCCACCGGGCATCCGTTTCTCTGCGGTTTCCTCTTAAGGGAAGAATGCGACGACCTGTTGTAGAGCGTTACCCAAGTCAAGCCGATTACTTCTGGAGTGCACATTGTGGGTTTTTCAAGCTATTTTAAGTTAGAAAAATCCTCTCAATTACACTTCATCTTGTTGACGTTTCCCTGTGAATCTGGTATTCGAATTGTAGGCTGATAGAAGCCCGATTTAATCGGTCCAATCATTGAATTACTTTGTATGACATAAGGTCACAAACTGCTACACAGCTTCATTTATTGGACAGCGTCCTCCTGCCGTGGCGAGCAGTCTTTCATGTCCAACCTTTTTGTCTTCATTAGAGCGTCAGTGAGCCTCTCAGGTGACGCAGCATATGTGGGATCAGTTCTGCCCTTTCCAATTCTCATGAACGAGCACTCCGTTACGCACGGGCGGCGTTCATCGTGACAGCGCCGCTCATTCACATCGTTATCTCAAGTTAGGAGCATTTGCTGAATCTGGCACAAAAAAGGTGACGGTTAGCAGATAATTGCAGCACTGGATTCTGGGAAAGATCATTTTCAGATATTTATCCCGCCTCAGCGGGTATTAAATTCTGTGGGAACGTTTGTTCTTCATCACAGAGGCTTCACACCGTGTTCTTTATGGCACGACTTTCCCGGCTCTAGCGTCCATGTGAACACAATCATTCATCTCATCTTCTGGCATTAAACGCTCCCAAAATATAATGGATGTGCGAGATTGTAATCGGTGCCTCAAACAACTCAAGCGAAGCTGCGTCCTGCAGCAGGACGAGGGGTTCCCCTTCTCCCACTCAGCGGGGGCCAAATGAGCTGTATGAACGTCAGTCTTGAGCATCACAGAAATGCAACATGAAAATGTTCGACCTTGGTTCAAAAGGGAGCTCGACTGATACAAAGATGAGATATTTCAGTAAATGTATCTGCTGGTAAATAGGTTTTAGTACTGGAAGGTCAAATATATGGTACAGGTCAACTGTAAATAATGCAATTAGTATTTTTACCTTGTGAAGATTTTTAAGTTATATGCTGTATAAAAAGTAACTCCATCCAATATACGGTTAGGAGCGTTTGGTGAGACTAAGCTGTAGCCTGCACCTCATCAGTCGAGGGTCCCAATGGCTCTTTGCAGCATCGTCACGTCATGAAGCTCCATTAGAGGAGCACGACCGAGTTCATCGGGTCAGAGGCAGACATGAAACGGTTCTACGTTCCTTCAGGAGGACCGGAGCACACGAGGCGGGCGGCTGTCGCGCTGCCGACCAAGCAGAGATCTCCAGCACAGGGTCACCTGACGGGAGAAAGTAGCCACGTACTGATGCGTTGTGGCTGCGCCGTGACGAGCCGCGTAAAGGAAGAGGACGCCGCCCTTTCTGCATCGGTGCAGAACGGCGTCTCTCGTACAGAGACGCAGCCGCTCCACTCAGGGTTCAAAGACAGCGTCAACAAATTGACTCAAGCATTTTATAAATCTCAAGGTTTTCTTCCAGCCGCTAAGCAGAATCACATTGAATGTGCTACATCAACATGTGCTGGAACGGATCTAAGGGGGATCGAAACTCATTTATCAGCATTGCAGAAATGGTTTGACCTTTTGCCAAATCACATTATTTCCTATTTCTAACATCATAGTACGACATACACACCAAAATACTCCTCCCTTTTCCTAAACGCAAGGATATTCAAGTTATACGCCCGTAGTTCTAACATCTGTAGTCGTTTGGGTAGATGAGGTCGTCACTATGAAACGAGCTGAGAAGGTCACCGCCCCCTGAGCCTGTTACATCAACTCTGACTCAAGCTGTCAACTTCCATCTTCCTGCTTCTCACAGCACAAGTGTGCAGAGGTGAATAGTTGTGACTGCGCTGTCCACTTCCCAAGCAGTGCACAGAAGGGCTTACAGGTGTGGCTTCCTAGTACCTGTGCATGCTGCAGTGCATTCGATGCTGCATTCTCTCCTTGGTTCATGTCGGATGCGTTCACTCTATTTGCACGAACAGATGTTTGCTTATTAAGAGTCTTTCTTTATCATCCTCTTGCTGTTTAATGGGAAAACGTACGATACATGTACGATCGGGTTTTTACCAAAGAAAGGTCGTGTACCTGAGGTATCCTGAAGGGAATGTGCGGTTTGTGGAAGCCCACAGCCAAGAAGAAAGGAGTGTCGTCGTCAGCCCGACTCTTCAGTAACCTCACGGCCTCGTCCGTGCTCTCCATGTCGGGGAGGGTTCCCCCGGGCTGCTCCGCCACATTCACCGCACACAGCAGGTTGGCGTGGAGCTTTCCATCCTCTCCTTTACACATCTGGGGGGGAAAAGGGTTGTATTGCGTGTCATTTATGCTCAGTTCATGCTACGATGAGTTTCTGTGGTTCGATTGCTTTTCCTCCCTTTGCCTGGGAGGTTTCCAACAGTCCAAAGAAATTATAGCTTAGAATAGTTTTCTAGTTATTAAGTTGTTAAGCAACGTGTTACAGGGTTCAAACTAATTAAAGACTGTTTATTTATATTCCATTCATTTCTATTTATGATATGGGAGGAATTAAACCTGCCTTTTATGAAGCAAGAGATTTAAAATTGGACTCTGGCTTCTGAAAGGTCAACAGTGAAAAGGAGTGAAGGTCATTTGTAACTTGATTACAGGAGCAAGATGAAACATTCAGAATGTCCAAAGCACTTAAGCAACGTTTTGCACCATTAGATTCACAATAAGAAAGTAATGGATGAGGCCCCAAAGGGGCTGCCTGACAAAGGGTGACCACTACAAACTGGATTTTCCCGTATAGTCACGAAATCGTTGTACTTTTCCATTACGAACCTTTTCTTTCTCGTATCTAAATGAGGGTGGGTGGTAGGCGGGGGCGGACCAGCTGTAGGGGAAGTCGTCAGAGTGGTTTGAGGCAATACCTGAAAAATGAAAAAAGTACAAAACACAACAGTTTCGTCTGCAGATTTGGAGAGGTATCAAATATAAATATTAGTTAACAAAGTGATGCAGAATGACTTCCTCTCTCAGTGAAGCTGTGATTCTTACTGTAGTTTGAGGATTTCTGTATCCTTCCCGAATATGTCGCTGCTTCCGATCAAATCTCTACCAAAAATACCATCAATCTCACCTGGATGGAATACCTTGCCCACAGACATGGTGTGGTACCCTCTGGATTTGAAGTACTGTGGCAGCGTGGTGTAGTTCCCAGAATGGGTCCTCCAGTAGGAGTTGAAGTCGTAGAGCCTGGTGGTGTCCGGTCTGCGACTGGTCAACATGGACGTGCGACTGGGAGCGCACACGGCTTGCTGAGAGATGCAAGGACACCTTTAGTTCCCCCCGTCGGGTTGTTCATCATCATACAATGAACACGTATGACGCGCACTGACCTGCGCGAATGCATTAAGGAAAACCTGGCTTCTGGATGCCAGTTGGTCGATGTTTGGGGTTTTGGCCACAGCGTCTCCGTAGCAGCCCAATGACGTCCGCAAATCATCGGCCATGATGAAAAGGACATTTCGCCTCTCTGAAAGGAAACGGTTTATTTATTACAAATTGTAGCACTTAAATTGTGTGTTTATTGTAATGGCTCCTATATATAGCAAGTTGTAAAATCAGCTTATTTAATGAAATTGCACTTTCTTGTTCTTCGGAGTTTGTATCCTTATGGTTGAATGCACTTATTGTACGTCGCTTTGGATAAAAGCATCAGCTAGATGACATGTAATGTATTGTGAAATTATCCAAATACTAAAGCTCCAATATTAAAACTAATACCAATAGCAAGTGGAGAAACACTAGGATGCTGTATTATTTAAAGAGTATTCAAAGGGCTTCTGATGCGGATTAAAGCTCAACAGAAACTCAATCAGCTCTACGGGACAAAGCCCCATTCAGGGAGTAAATTGAATTCATTAACGTGAGCTTGCTGTGGAGACAGCTTCTATTCAAACGTAATAAACACTCATTAAGCGCTAACGCAAACTAGTTACGCTGATTTACGGACAGCAGAACACCACTCAAATAAATCCACAAAGCGCAGAGATGAGAGAACCACCATGTGCTGTAAAGCCTGCGTGATACTATCACAGGTGTTTTTATGTATCCGACCGATGAATTATACTAGAAACAGTCCAGTGGTCGTTACCTCTCCATGCAACAACCGCAAGAGTCCGGGTGTGAAGCACCAGAAGGAGAAGCCAGATGCCGAAACAGCTGTACATTGTGATTTGGAAGATGAGACTTAACGACACAATAAACTTTGGATTAAGTTTACTTCTGAAACGTTAAGCTTGCATCCCCACTTCTGCCTCGTCCTCCTCCCGCAGCCTGGCAGACAAGCACATCAGCTGGTAGCTGTCGTCTTTAAATAACTTCCTGATTATCGCGTCACACTTGAGGGAAATGTTTTCATTCGTCTGTTTGTTTATCGCCCCGCCCTAAAACGCTAATCATATTGGTTCAATCATGTGTCAATCGTTTTTAATGCCAGGCAAATGTCGCGCTGGCTGTGGCTAAGAGATGTTAGATGAAGTAAGGTCTCACTCTGCAGCAATTGGACTTGCGATTGTAACAAGATCCCTAACAACCACGGAACGTTTATGAATGTAAGTCTAGATTTGAATGGGAAGTCACTGTTAAAAGGTTCTTGGTTATTACGGTCAAGGTAATTATCTTCTCAGGCATTACGTAACATCTACGTAGAAACAGTTTTGACAGGCTTTGAAAATCCTCGATCTCTCCTCCACTCCCTGCAACAATGCTGGTTAAATTTACATTTTAAGGAAATTATAAAAGTGGAAACGAGGTCCTCAGACATTATCTATTATATAAAATAAAATAATTAAAAGTAGGCTTAATATGAATGGTGTAAATGGGGGTGTAGTAACTGTATATGCATAACGAAAAGTAATACATAAAAAAATATTTCCATATTTATTCCAGCATGTATTCTTTATTCTCTCCAGCATATATATCATCGTTTAAATATTTCTTTATTTGGTTCAGCATTTATTAATTTATGTATTCATATTTCTTTATATTTTTACATTTATATTAATCATATATTTAGGTATCAGTGAATTTATTTGTATATATGTTCGTGCATTTATTCATTTTATTTTTTTTCCTGTCCTCGCTGTAGGTTTGCTGGCTGGATTTGGGCTGTTTCTGATGAGCACGTTATCGTCTCATACATACACGATCTTTGGCCACAAAGGCAGCAACACAAAACATGGCTGACACCGCAGCTAAACGTGAAATCCACGGCGTCGGAACCGAGGAATCGCCTCAGAAAGTCAAGAGAGCGAAAGCTGACAATGAGAATGGTGGCGGAGGAGTTGGAAATGATCCTGAATCCGAAAATATTCTGTCAGAGTTTAAAACGTCCTCCGTTTTGAGCGATTCTGCCCGGGAGAAAAACATCTTTATCCACGGAAAGGTAACGGTAATGTTGTTGTTAGCTGTAAGAAGCATTTTAGCTAACTCACACTAGCTTTGGTTAAAGTGTGGATAGCAACTGTTCGTGACTTAAGAGCAACATGTTTTCATTGTTGTATTAATTCAAAGGTCTTGAGTAGTTTCGCGAAGAAAAGATGGGACATTAACTTCCGGTTTGATATTTCAAAATAACAGTCTGTGCTTTATTGTGAAAATGTATCTTATAGAGACTACTGAGAAGGCTCCGAGCGGGTGTTTTGCATTTATTTAAGGGGGATGTGTCAGAATTGACACAGAATTGATGTCTTCACCAGCTGGCCGATCGGGAGGCCGTGGTCATCCTGGAGAAGACGCCCATCAGAGAGGACAGCCTGGATGAGCTCTTCATGGGCTCCAAGCTCTCGCTGGAGATGAGGAACGACATCTACAGCACATATCGGTTGCAGGCTCCTCCGCAACTCAACGGTACGGTCAGAATGAGGTAAACTGACTCTAGGGAGCATTGAGACCAAAGTCCCATAGTGTGTGTGTGTGTGTGTTTCTGTTTCGCAGAGATCAAGGCCACAGTCGTGTGTCCGGCCACAGAGAAGCATGTAAAGAAATACCAGCGACAGGAGAGTTTCCTGGTGGAGGAGACGGGAGAGGACTATCAGTCCATCACTCTGCCCTACATTCAGAAGCAGAGCTTCAGCGTGCAGGTCGGCGCCCTGATGTCTCCTCCTCTGCATTGGCACCGTAAAGCCTTCCTGTGACTGTGCATTGACCCTCCTCCTCTCCGACCCTTCCAGTGGGTCCACAACATCCTGGAGAAAAAGGCAGAAGCTGAGAAGATTGTCTATGAAGATCCAGAACCTGAAGTTGGGTTTGTCCTCCTCCCAGATTTTAAATGGGACCAGAAACAGGTGAGCCAACATTATTACTTATCACAGTATGTACCACGGGAGACTTACCGTGGAATGCATGTCAGCCTTGAGATGTTAGACATTCAAACCATCAGGACTGCAGCCATATCTCCTCTCCTGATAAATGATCATCTGTGATGTTGAGCAGCCGCGCATCAGGCGGGCACAAATATCCCAACTTAAAGGATCTCGGACGACGCGGTTTGACGGAATGTGTCGTCTGCCATCAGGTTGATGATTTATACCTGATCGCCATAGCACGCCAGAGAGACATCAGGAGCCTCCGAGACCTGACGGCGGAGCATCTACCGCTGCTGCAGAACATCTTTCAGAGAGGAAAGGTGAGGGGGGGGGAGAGCAGAAACCCGTCTTCTTCTTCCACCCGCTGCCTTTTTAATGTCCCCTTATGTTTCAGTCACATTCTTCAACCCATTACACTTTCTCATTGAGAGCCAGGACAGGACATGGCTCTTCATGATTAGAGGGAAAGGCCAGTGTCCGTGTCAATTTTGTCAAACAATGACAAAGTCCCTGTGGTTGTGACTTAGGAGGCCATCCTGCAGCGCTACAAGCTTCCAGCCAGTAAGCTGAGAGTCTACCTGCACTACCAGCCGTCCTACTACCACCTGCACGTGCACTTCACTAAGCTGGGCTACGAGGCGCCGGGCTGCGGCGTGGAGCGAGCCCACCTCCTGGCCGACGTCATCCAGAACCTCCAGTCCGACTCCCGGTTCTACAAGAGCCGGACGCTGTACTTCCCCCTGAGGGCAGACGACGGGCTGCTGGGCCGGTTTAGGGAGGCGGGCAGGCTGTGACTTTTACAGCCTCAAGTCCATCCCCATGCAAACTGCGGTCCATGGAGGATGCTTTAACACGGGATACACACAGGCTACATAACAGAATGAACGATCACTATTTTTGCAATAATCTTCATGTTTTTGCTGATATGAGTCAAACCATTGGCTAAATAATGTGTCTGTCTGCCTCTGTTTTAAATGTTTTTCTACATGTTGCTGACTGAATTAAAGAGTCCTTTCTTTCAATACCCGCCTGTTAAAGTTGTCACTTTCATTGTAATATTTGAAAAGGGGGGGTGAAACAATTACAATGGCCTGGATTTCTAAGGCAGACACTTGTTTTTCATGACGTGTCGTGGTGGTGGAGCAAAGCGTTGGATGAGGTCGTGTGAGGTGCTTCTTGTACAGCACAGAGGCAAATCAAACCGACAAACGTTGTGAAGATAGTGTCACTACCTAGGCCACAACACTAGATGGCAGCAGCAATCTCAAAACATTCAAGCTTTTTCACTGAAACTTGACACGAAAACAAACTTGCTAAGTAATAAAATGGGGCTTTTCCTTTTTGTTTGTGTCACTTTTCCACCTGACTATATTAAACGTGAGTCTGGTTGCAAACATTCGGAGCCGCAGTACCACGTTTGGCTCTTCTGCGTTCATCTCCATGCTGCTCAGGTGAAGAACGCCAGCTGCTTTTTGTCTTTAGGTCCGGTTCTTTGACTCTGCGGTCAATGAGATGCTCACAGTTGATGTATGATTCAATTGTTTCTTATTACGGACGATTCTTGCAGAAGACATCATTTTCTTATCTTATCCGAGGTCATTTGGCCCGATGCGCTGCGTTGTGATGTTGTATTCAAGGTTCCCCGTAACAATGTAAACTGATCAACAGGATCCGACCCTGTAATGAAATAAGAGACTCAATATATCCGATCGGACCCCCTCGTTAAGGACGCATTGGTGGTCTGTTGAAGCCCAGCCAGCTCTAACTATTTTATGCTCGAGTTCATTTAGAATGTCCCACTAGAAAACACAGTATTGCCCTTCTGTCACAATCGCTACATTAAAAACGTTTTCCCTTAAATTGTTCTTAACCCGAGCCACTGTTTTAATCCATGGATACTTTACTTCATCTAACTTTTATTTGCACAGTTGTGTTTAAACTACAGTCCCTCCGCCCCTCGCGGTGCGGATGCTGGAGCATTCCGAGCCGCCCCTGAACGCAGCACCGTGGAGCCGAGGACGCAGGGCAGGACCACGACAAATAATCCAATCACTAGTCCGCCAACACCGCTGATGTCTTGGTTCCAGTCTCTGAGGGATGACTTCTCCCTGAGGCCGTTTGAGACCGAGCCCTCGCAGTAAGTCTCCCCGAGTCTGAGAGCGAACTCCGGGTCCGTGAGGGACAAACTTGTGCCGGAGATGTTATTTATGAGCGTTATTATCGCACCGCGGGGGATTATGACGTTTGGCCGCGGATCGATACATGCGGTCGATATATAGTGTCCGAAACGCTTTGCTTTTGTTTGAGCTCCGGCTGGAGTTGTGGGGGCTGGGGGGTGTGCGGGGTGGTGGTGTCTGTTCGCGCTGTGGCTGCTGCTCGAATTATTCATAAGAGCTCTCGAAGTTCTCCACGGAGTTGTTAAACGTTTGGTTTTGTATCTCTGAGATACTGTAACATCATTGATTTTTTTTTTGCCGATGTATGTTCATGTACTTGTTGGCTAAATAATGTGTTTGGGTGTTGATGGTGAGATACACCTTTTGCTGGCGAAATAATTCTACTCTGCTCACTCTGAACATACTTTGATTTAGAGGACAGTACTTTTTAGTCATTAATGTGCATTTTAGGTTAAAATCTATTCCAAAAGTGGCCTGTTTGGTGTGAACTGTCTTACATTTGCTTATCTGTCAATAGGGCCCTTGTTATTATCTGCTTTTAAGTGTGTTATTTCAGAAGAGCTGATTGTATGTGCATGTCCCAATCAGCTATAGGCCTACTTTAGAGGTCCCACTCAAACCGTCCAACTTTCTCTTGGTAACACAGCGAGATAACAAACACTTTGTGTGTGAGCATGTAAGTGTTTGGTAGCGGCAGGTCAAGGACGGTCCAGATTAAACCGTTATATTTCACGGCCGACTCAGAATAGAGTCACGCTGTCGGTCGGCGTGAGAGGATGAAAGGTTCTGTTGATCCCAGGCCTGCTGATCTGATCGCCGCGAG